GCTAGTCACTCATCATTCTCGTTTCTCATTCTGACACGATTTGCCGCAGTTTCTTTTTCTTCATGGCGGCGATCGCGATGAGAATTCGGAGTGAGGTATGTCGGCTGACCGGGGCGAATGTCTCGGTGAAGTCCCGTCCGTGCTCCTGGTCGAATCCACGCGCGACCCAGCGTGCTTTGAATTTCTCGATTGTGCCGTCTGCTTTCGTTTTGATGCGGAAGACCCATTTCCCGGTGAGGATGGTCTTGTTTCTTGCCACGCTTACGGGAACGACTTTCCAGGTGTTTCGTTCCTCCAGCGCTTTTAATTCTCTGTCCATGGCTTCATGCCATTTCTCTCTGTGTTCCCCCCCCAGAGCCTGCTGAACCGTCGCAGGCTCTTTAGGAAGAGCGTTGCCGTGGACTGCGGTAACGAGGCCGAGAATCTGCAGTCCAGTCTGCGAGTAGCGGGGGAGTGTTGTGTCCTCGGGATGAGCTGCTTCATCTCCCGCTTCTGGGTCGGGTATGAAATTCGGCCTTATCCGTTCTGCTTCGTTGGTGTTGACTGTCGCAGGTGTTACGTAACCATTGTCGGCGAAGTGGTGGAAGACTTCGGCGTTGGCGCTTTCGCGAGGATTTTCTTCGTCCATGGGGACGTTGACGGAGCAGAACGGGAGAGGTCCGGCTTCTTCTGATGCGTTGTCGACGGTCTGCTCGTCCCAGTCTGCTTCGTCCGTTGCTGAGGCGAAGGCTCGGTCACCACGAAAGCCACCTGTGGGGTCCTGATTTTTGTGCAAGTTGGCGAGGTACGTCTGAAGCGTGAGTCGTTCGTAGAAGATCACGTCACGTGCTGCTACTGTTTCCTTGGAGTGGACGTCGAAGATTTTCCACGCGTTGTAATTCTTTTCGATGCCGAGGTGTAGTCCCCACTGTGCACGTTGTGAAAATCTTCCCGCTCGTGCCTCTGGGGGTCGGTACTGTACCATGCACCCAAAAACTCGTAACATTTTTGTGCTGCCCTGTTTCCCTGTCCACAGCAGATGCGGTGATGCGTTGTTCGGAAGTGAGGACGACGACATCAAGTTGTGCAGCATGACAGCATGGTCCATTGCTGCAGGCCACTGGTGGTTGGGTAGCCGCATGCCACGTAGCAGTTTGCGCATGCTGTTCTGCAGAGTCCTGTTCATTCTTTCTGCGACACCTTGCTGCTGATGGGCGTAGGGAAGGGAGAGAAGCTGCTTGATTCCTCTTTCCGCCAGGTACTGCTTGAATCGCTGAGAGGTGTATTCTCCTCCTCCGTCTGACTGGAAGCTTTTCAGCTGTGCTCCCGACTCTCTCTCTGCTACTGGTAGCCAGGCGGCGAACGCTGCGAGTGCCATGTCGCAGCTGGGTAGGTTTAGATGCCAGACGTATCGAGCGGCGCCGTCGATGAAGGTGATCGTGTAGTTGTAAGTAACTTGTCCTGGTTCTCGATTGAAGATAATATCGCTGTACACCTTCTCGAGTGGTGCGTATGCGGGTGCGCTCGGGTTGTGGTGAGGAGTGAACGGTCGATGTGGTAAGTCGGCTTCGGGGCAGGTGAGGCAAGTTCCTCGTACCCGTTGAAGTTCTCTGCCGTCGTGTAGTAGTAATGAATCCTTGTCTAGGACTCCTGCTCTTATTGTATTATTTAACACGGTGTTGCTTGGATGTCCCATGCGTGCGTGCCAGATGTCTTCGGAGGCGCGGTGTCCGGGTGAGCGTTGATAGGCATCGGAGTTGGAGTAGAAGCTGGCGACGAAGTTTGCGCTTCGGTGGACTTCTCGTTGAGTTGGGTTCAGCTGCTGTGCGAGTGTTGGTGGTGCTTCGTCGATGAGGACTGGTGTCGTTGGTCCTGCTGCTGCCGATGATGTTTCTGCTGCTGCCAGTGTTGTCTCTGCTGCTGCCGGTGTTGTTTCTGCTGCTGCCGATGTTGTCTCTGCTGCTGCCGATGTTGTCTCTGCTGCTGCCGATGTTGTCTCTACTGCTGCTGGTGTTGTTTCTGCTGCTGCCGAATGTTGAATTGTTGCTAACCCGCGTGTTCGTTCTGCTTCAGGGATGGTATGCGAATACCAGAAGCCTTCCGGGCTGAAGTCGGGGTCGAGATCCGGGGGATGTGTCCAGTCGGCGAAGTTCACGATGGCGTCGCTGTCTGCGGTGCCCAGGTCTGGGACGAAGTCAAGGACGAAGACGTTGTTCTTCAGGACCGCCTTTCCGATGTAGAGGCCGCCCTTCCCGTGGTATAATTTGAACTCCTGGGTGGTACTGTCGGCTTCCAAGTGAATGCCTTTCGCCATCAACTGGCTGACGCTCAGTAAGTTGTAGCCGAGTCCCTCCGCGATTAGTACTTTTGACATATGTAGTACAACATTTGTCTCTCGTGACTGAAGTTTTACTACTCCTTGTCGTCGTGTGCGCAGATTCTGGTTGTTGGCGACTGTGATGACGACCTCTCGTTGAAGTCGGTGTTCGCGTTGAACGAAACGTCCTGAGGAGCACATGTGTTGTCCGCAGCAACTGTCCAAGAACCAAGTGTCCCTTCCGGACGGTTCGCTTTGAGCGATGGCAGCGTACGTCGGGTTCGGTTGAAGTGACTCGCGGCGAGGCGTGCTGTTGTCGAGTTGTTCTTCTGGTGAGTAGTATGGTGGTGACTCGGTTGTGCAGGAATCTGTTATTTTCACCATACAGTTGACGATGTTTCTTGCTCCTTGTGCAGGTTGTCCTGTTGGAGTCGTTGAAGCTTGGACTGAAGTTGTCGGGTTTGCTTGCGTTGAAGTGACTTGGGAGCTTGAAGGCCAAAGTTGTCGCTGTGGTGTTGTCGATTGTTGACGATACGGGCAGTGCGTACGAGGATGCCCTGAAGTCTTGCAGATGTGGCAGAACGGAGGTACTGGCTTCACTTGTTGTTGTTGCCGGTTGTTGTTGTTGTTGTGGCGTCGCTGGGTGTGAAATGCGAACTCTGGTACTGACGTTTTCTTCTTGTGTCGTTCTTCTATCAGGTCCATGTCCTGCTGCTCGGCATGGATTTCGGCGCAGAGTGCTGCTTCGGAGATTCTCCCGTGTGCTCGTAGTATGGCGCGAGTGGAGCGCCAGTGAGGGCCAAGACCGCCGATGACGACCGTGACGAAGGCGTCTTTTGAAATCGATCCTCCACATCGAAGGAGTTTGTCGCGCAGCTCGCGGCAGCGACTGATATACGCCATTCCCCTTTCGCCTGGTTTCATTTCGATCGTTGTCAGCTGCGCCATTAACCGGCTTTGGTTTACACTGTCTGTTGCTTGATACAGGTTCTTCAAGTGGTTGTACGCGAGCTCCGCGGAGTTACCGTAACCTCGGTAAGTCCTTATGTTTTGCTGTTGAGTCGGGGTGATGTTCCTTAGTAGTATTGTGTACGCCATCATCGATTGATAGGTGTACTGCTGCTTCTCATACTGTGTGCCGTTTGTTGGATATGGTAGGGACCCGTCGAAGAAGCCAAGGATCTGCGCTCCTTCCATCATCAGCTCGAATTCAAACGACCAGGTAAAGAAATCCTTCCCGTCGAAAGGTTTTGTCGTTTGTAGTTTTAGAACATGCGCGAACTGCGACTGAACTTGTAGTGCGTCCAGCGCTCTTTCTTGTCCCGGTGCAGGTTGTGGTTGTGGCATGAAGCTGACGGAGCCGCGCTGGGGCTCGTACGGAGCGAAGGTAGGTTGTTGTTGTTGTTGATTCCCGCGTGCGTAGGATGAGCCATCGAGACTCATAGGCGTCACGTTGTTGTTGTTGTTGTTGCTGTTGTTTGATTGCGCAGGTACTCCTTGCTGATGCTGCTCGTAGAAGGACATGAAGGAGAAGAATTTCTCCATCATGCTTGGATCGAAGCCCGAGCCTTGGTTTGCGGGTGTTTAAGTAGACCCAGCTGCTGGTCTCGTTGTTGTCCCTTCCTCTGTCTGTGGGCCAGAGGCAGGAGGTGGAGTAGGGGTAGTACCGGGAGAGCCGTTGGAGGAGCTCCTCTCCTTTCTAGCAGACATGTCTTCTTGATGTATTGAGTGTTGAAGAAAAAAGGTAACTTTTAACTCTAACTTGCTCTCATACCATGTTGGGCTGAGACGCCATAGGATCTTTGTAGAGTTAAAGTCTGAGTAAAATGATGTAATAGCGGAAGCGTTTGAATTAAGTCCTTGAACCACCTTGCGCTAGTATGTGAGGGCAAAGTAAGTTGATTAAAGCAGAGGGATACAAGAATATATATATATATATATATGAGTACAGAGAATATGAAGAGACATAATTGTAACTACTTTACTGTTGCGGTTCGATACAGTGCGACTCGGGCAACTGCTCAATGTCGAGTCAGTTGTATGTACTTGCTGTCGCGCTGTATTTGTCAGGTCAAAGGTCGCTGACCTTTGACTTTCGCGTAACCTCCAGCGGTTACATCAACCTCCGAGGGTTGACTCACTGGTGCTTCGATTGCGTTGCTTCGCTTGTGTCTTGGAGTTTCGACACGACAGAGGCGTTTAGGACTTATTTGTTCCCAACACTCAGCACCAGTACTACCTGGCCACGAGTCCCTTTCTGGATTTCTGAAGCTAGCAGATTTCAGATACTTCACCTCTGGGTTCTTATCAATCAGCCACTGCCAGCCCAGTTTCAAGCGTCAGATGAGTGCACACTTGAAAGGATGGAGCGATGGCCACAACCACAAGCTACGAAGGCGCCGGTGGTGGTTGACTCAAGTTACCTTGATACACTGTACTGGTAAGATAACATGGTTGTTTTAAGTAATGTCATGTCACCACCATTTTTAGCCAGCCGTGAAGATGAACAGAGCCTTTCAAAATAACCCAGGACACAGCTTGCATAATGCAACCTGCAATGGTGAGCTCCAGAGAAGCAAGAAAGGTGTGTAAAAGCGAAGGACAAGTTACAGTTACACCACCTGAGAATATGTAAATGAGACTTTCCTTCCTTCAAGGTTATCTACAAGAACCTGGGTAGAGCACCAGCAAGCCAGTATGGCCGTCATGCCTGGAGGCCTCGCATCAATGCTGCCACATTGTTAACCTCTGGCGCTGGAGATGCAATGTCTTCCATCCTGCAGAGGACCGGGTGAAATGACATTAGTATGGCAGATGCTGGTTCGTGAACGCATTAGAGATTGTGCTATGCATTGCAGAGGCGTTACCTTTGCTTGAGGAGCTGCTGTCTTGTCAGCACATTGGTCTGCTGTGTGTGATGACCCCATGGGTGATTGCAGTTGCACACCTGATGATTCACAAAAAGCAAGGCACGGAGGCAAAGGATCAAAGGATATAGGGCTATGTCGACGGTCAAATTGACTTGATTTGAGCAAGATTGCACTCGCTCTATCTCTCCCTCCCATGGCAATGCGCAGGATGGCACACTGGACACCTTCCTTCATGCATTGAAAATGTATGGTCAGCCATGCATGTCACACCTGGGTCCTGTGAGTAATCCTTCGCCACATTCCTCTACCGACCTACCCCGAGTCATGCATGCATGTGACCGTCATGCTTCATGCATGCAAGGTGCAAGCTCACTTACCCATGGGCTATCGAACTTGTCGCATGAGCATTTTGGTCGGATGCATTTGTGCGATGTCGGCTCGTGTTCCACATGCTTATGCTGCGTGATAGATCAACACAATGAAGGAAGTAGAAAAAGGACGGAAAAATATAAACGAAGAATCTGGAAAAATCGCACGAGGAGCAACTACACATAGCCAAGACATTTGATCAGGGTTTTGAGATTTCTTTCAGCAGCAGGTTTTCATGGTTAAAATGCAAAAGCTGGCTTCAGCAAGGCTAGGAAACGATTGCATCCGCCGTGAATGATTGAAAATGAATGCAGAAAGGAGTGAACAATGCATCTGCAGTAAACAAATTCCGAGACAAATTAAAAGGCACAACACACGAACGTACAGATGCGTAAATACATGAACGCATGAACGATGACAGGCGCGTACCTTGCATCTGCAACGAAGGATCCAGACGCCTTGAGCAGGAATAAAGAAGAAACTCTCGCACGCACATTTGGCTCGTCCGCAGACCAGCTGAAATTCACCACAATGCGACGAAGGCGACGAGGAGGAAGAGGAGCCTGAATGCGAATCGCTGGGCGGTCCTGCCAGGGAGTCCGAATCTTGCAATTCCGGGTTCTCAGACAGCCGTGAGTCGGTCAAATTTTCCGCAGCTATTGTTTCAGAAGAGCTTTGTTGAGTAGTAGGCGGTTCAAGACGATGCTCTCGAAGCCTGTGACCGCAGATACATTGGGATTCGTCTCGAACTGGCAGACAGCTGCGGTCGCAATCTGAGGTTGACAATAAGGAATGGTGGGAAACCAGTAAAGTCCGGAAGGAGTCACATGATGGTGGTTAGTGGCCACGCTGACTTAAAATCACATCTGCTAAAAACGAAAAGAACAAAAAATGAAATAACTTCAGAAACGAAGTGAAGCCACGATAAGCTCTAGATGTCGAAGGCATACCACGGCAAGTCCAGGTGACCTTGGCCTTGAGATCGGCAGAAGAGTCCTTGCCATCCTTGCTAAAGGATTCCACGTCAACAGGCTGCTTTTTAGATTCTACATGACATTCAACATCACCAGCCTCAGTCTCTACTGGTCCGGCTAAGTCGTGAGCTTGATCAATCGTGACCATGACGCTGATAAGTTGAGCAACGGAAATTCAGCACGTTGTGTTTGGCGACGTCTCGGCTTACCGTGCCGAATCGTGGTATTGAAACCAACTTTCAGTGGTTGTTGCAGGAATGCGAATGGGAGCAGGACTTTCCGCTTCGTGTGCTGAACACTGAGGCGGTGTTCGCCAGCACATCTAAAAAAAGAAAGGCCACGGAATGGCCGTGGAATCACGAACCAGAGGAGGAACCTCCCGAATAGGTGTGGGGGGAATGGCCAAATCGTGAAATTTCGCGCCAGAAAGGGGAAGGGTGGCAACGGGATCAGGAACCACCCTCCCCACCTTCCACACCCGTTCCCCCCCTCCACATCCTTCCAATCCCATAGCCATCCCAAGGCAATTCTGCTTGGGGGGGTGAATGGCGATGGAATGGCAACGGGACCAACGTTTGCCTGTAGAGGAAGCTCCCGAACCACTTTCCTACCTTCACGATTCCATTCGAAATGAATGAAAAGGAGGGCGTTCGACAGGACAATATGATTCCGTTTGGTTCGGACGGAATCACAGGCTCGGCAAGAATTTCGCGGGCTGACCTGCTTGACGGACCCTAACGAGCCCTAACGGACGGGATCAGGAAGCCGAGACTGACCTTCCTGATCCCGTCATGTTTCTTGTTAAAAGTGCTGGCGAACAACGCCTGCGTAAGGAAATTCCTCGAGATCTCCGATGCAGTCAGAGGTGGAAGGATTTGGGAGTTGGCTTCACAGTCAACTGACATCCAATGTCGCGGTTTGTCAGATGCTCTTATGGCGGATCTGGTCAGAGAATATCACAGATGTTACGTGAAAATATCCCAAACGATCTAAAGCACTAACTTCGAAACTGGACAAAACCACAATAACTCAAAGGCCTGTCCGTGCTGGAATTTGTTACTTCGCGATTATGTCTGGAAAAAGATGCTACAGACCTACCTTCTATACCCAGACCCATCCCTTGAGACTCGGTCACCATACCCACGAGGACTAGGCTCATGACGACCACCAGCACCGCCCCCCCTCCAATCCGCCCCTGCAGCACCACCAGACCTCCAATCCCCCCCACCAGCAGCACCACCCCCCCTCCAATCCCCACCACCAGCACCACCTCCTGACATCCATCGATCACCATCATCAATCACCCTAACTGCAACAGCACCACCACCAGCTGACATCATGCCACCTAACGATCCCATCGCACCAACCGGACCACCAGCACCAGCAACACCGCCATAACCACCAGCACCACCAGCACCACCAGCAACACCACCAAAGCCACCAGCACCAGCACCAGCGGTATCAGCTGCGTTTTTCTCAGCATTTTCCAGCTCCCGTACAGCCGCTCTCCCTGCTTGCTCCAGCAGCCTTACGGCACACCCCACCACTCGCCTCTCATTGGCCGGCCGCGGCCCTCCCGCCACCCACCTCCCCAGAATCGAATCCAGCACCGCCCGCAGCTGCACCAGCAGCTCTCCCACATGCCGATCCACCACAAACTCGATCCAACGGTCCACAACGAGCAGAACCGGCTGAGACGCCAGCGAGGAGGACCCAAACCCATAGGCGCCAGCAGCAGCAGCACCGTATGGATTCCCAGAGGGAAAAGCCCCTCCCAGGGGTAGAAACGGAGATGGGGCAGGGGCAAGCTGGATAGGACCTCCAAAGAGGACAATAGAGAGAGCAGGGATGAGCGTGCAGCCACGAATAAACACCTGAGAGGTCTGCACACGCTCGTTAAACGTCAGAAAATGCACTCCCCCATCGTCCAACGCCTTGCCCTGCTGCGGGATCACCCCAGTCGGGTGGATCCACACCCGACCCTCGGAGGTTCGGAACCCGAACCTCAGCCGGACCTTCTGCTTCCCGCCGCTGCTGCTGCCGGAACCGGCGCCGCCCCGGGCTTCCGGGAGCATGTCCGAGCGGGCTACATGGGGAGACAGACCCGCAACCAGCACTGAGCGAGCGATGAAGAGCGATGCCTCGTCGGTATCATCGATGTGCGGTTCAGATGCAGCAGCATTGGCTCTGTCGGGACCCGGCGGGTAATCTCGGCCGTCCATCTGCTCGTCCATGCGCTCATCTGCCACTCGCACATCCCATTTTGACCTGTGCCGCCGACCCTCACTCTCCCGCTCCCCCTCCCTCTCCCTCTCCCTCTCCTTCTCCCTTTCGCGATCCCGATCCCTATCCCTGTCGCTGTCCCTTCCCCTATCCCTGTCTCTGTCTCTCTCCCTGTCCCTTACCCCATCCCTGTCTCTATCTCTATCCCGCTCTCTCTCCCTGTCCCTATCTCTCACGCTGTCCCTATCCCTGTCCCTGTCCCTATCTCTCTCCCTGTCTCTCTCCCTCTCCCTGTCCCGATCCGAGCCTCTGTCCTCCTTGTCCCTCCAGCTCTCTCTGCTACCAGCAGCAGCACCCCTGGAATCACTCAGTTGTGTGGAGCCGGTGCGAGCATCGATGCGAGTCACGTGGCGGATATCAGGCCTACCACTCAGTGAAGATACCCCACCACCGACACCACCAGCAGCACCGTCACCACCATCACCACCACCACCACTGCCAGACCCCCCTTCCACCCCTCGTCCTCCTCCAACCCCTGTCTCCTTCCTCTGCCCCACCATCCCCCTTGCACCAGCTCCCTGCGCCTGAGCCTGAGCCTTAGGCGGAAGATCAGCATCAAGAGACTCTCCTAATTGGGCCAGCCCAGCCCCCCACAACATCCTCTCAATCTGCATTTTCAGCCCCAGCATAAGCCGCATCCCGGACGGCGCTAAGAAATTCTCATCACAATACCCCATCGCCCGCCCCTCTGCGTTTGCTCTCATCCACCCCTCATGCGCCATCACCACAGCTAGATGATCGCTCCCGGCCGCCGAGCCTGTCGCGAAGGCTCGGCGCGCAGCGTCGGCGGCGTTGCGGTTGGTAATGGGGGAGAGGAACGGGTCGCGAGAGAGGGAAGCAGCCGCAGCGACGGAGAGGAGGGGAGAGAGGCAGTGCAGCAGGGACCCATACACCAACATCTTGCCGATCCGAGGGTGCACAGCGAGCCGGCTGAGGGTCGATCCAAGGGCTGTGAGCTCTTCATCTTCATCCAGCGCGCCGAGCCTCTGGAGATTCTCGATGGCGTGGCGAACAGCAAAAGGGTCCGGGGGAGAGAGGGCCTTTGCAAGAAAGAGACCGATGTTGGTGCTGCGATGGGCGGTGGTGGAGGAGGGGTAGGAGGAAGAGTGGTGGGCAGTGACGGCGGCTGCGAGAGGGAGGGGTTTGATCTGCAGGCAGATTTCCTCCAGAGGGACGCGTTGCATCTCAGGGACAGAGTTGGGCGCCATGGCCTCATACACCTGCGATTGGGGTAGAAATCCATGGGATCGATGCAGTACATGAATGGACAGCCTTCGAGGCAAGTAGTGATAGAGAGTGCTTGGAAGCAGGACATTCTTGGAAGCAGAGAAGGCTTGGAAGCAGGAGGTGGTCTCACTGTGCGAGTGAAGAGGCGGAAGCATCTCCCGGGGCGAACGCGACCAGCTCGAGTTTTTAGACGTCTCAAAACAAACATACCGAGCGAGTGAAGAGGCGGAAGCATCTCCCGGGGCGAACGCGACCAGCTCGAGTTTTTAGACGTCTCAAAACAAACATACCGAGCGAGTGAAGAGGCGGAAGCATCTCCCGGGGCGAACGCGACCAGCTCTGCCCTGCCTCTGCTTCACACTCGCCTTGGACGCCCACTGTAGGCCGGGGGAGGACACAGGCGGCACGAAACAGGCGGGACAAACAATGGTGAAATTTATATTTACCCTTGGCTTCAGACAACCACTCCAGGACAAGACAAACAAGCAGAGGGAAAGCTGCATGGGAGATTCTTCATAGAGAGATCACCTGCACGCACATGGAGGAGATGTTCCTGGCGGGCTCGAAGTACTTTTCCTTGGACTTGCCTCATGTGGGCAAGTGCTCGCCCTACCTGCAAGAATTGTGAGTACTGCCCTGCCATTGCCGCCTCACCTGCACGCGCATGGAGGAGATGTTCCTTGCGGGCTCGAAGTACTTCTCCTTGGACTTGCCGCCATCCACCACAAACACCACGTCGTCTATCGTCACACTCGTCTCCGCTATGTTGGTCGATAGAATCACCTGCAGAGGAGGAGGAGGAGGAGGAGGAGGAGGAGGAGGAGGAGGAGGAGGAGGAGGAGGAGGAGGAGGAGGAGGAGGAGGAGGAGGAGGAGGAGGAGGAGGAGGAGGAGGAGGAGGAGGAGGAGGAGGAGGAGGAGGAGGAGGAGGAGGGGGGGGGGGGGGAGGAGGAGGAGGAGGAGGAGGAGGAGGAGGAGGAGGAGGAGGAGGAGGAGGAGGAGGAGGAGGAGGAGGAGGAGGAGGAGGAGGAGGAGGAGGAGGAGGAGGAGGAGGAGGAGGAGGAGGAGGAGGAGGAGGAGGAGGAGGAGGAGGAGGAGGAGGAGGAGGAGGAGGAGGAGGAGGAGGAGGAGGAGGAGGAGGAGGAGGAGGAGGAGGAGGAGGAGGAGGAGGAGGAGGAGGAGGAGGAGGAGGAGGAGGAGGAGGAGGAGGAGGAGGAGGAGGAGGAGGGAGCAGGAGGAGAGACGCAGAGATTTCAAGGTGGAGAGACTGAGAGATGAAGGGATGGAACATTTGATCGAACGAAAATAGTAAGGTTACCAGCCGGACAACTCTTTACAGCCATCACTATCCCTTCCACCACTATCACCGTCTGTCACATTCAACATCACGCTTTGCTGCTGTCATGCCTATCTCACCTTGCGCTTCCCCTCTGGAGGGCGGTCAAAGGCTGCTCTCTGCTCCGCTGGTGGCACCTGCATGGCGTTCAAAGGCATTCAGAGGGGTTCAGAGGTATTCCAAGCTTCTCAAGATGGGCAGAAAAAAACCTTAACAAAAAATGAAGGCAAAATGAGCTGCTGACACATGAGCTTGGTGGCACATGAGCTAGGTGGCACATGAGCTAGGTGGCACACGAGCTAGGTGGCACACGAGCTAGGTGGCACACGAGCTAGGTGGCACACGAGCTAGGTGGCACACGAGCTAGGTGGCACACGAGCTAGGTGGCACACGAGCTAGGTGGCACACGAGCTAGGTGGCACACGATAGACAGGGACGCCAGGGCCCATGAAGGTGGAAAGGCACAGTGTGACTCACCTGGGAGTGCAGCATCACGATGTGGAAGCGGTACGATCCCGGAAGGAACTGCAGCTGGCGCTTGGCTTCGGCTATCGTGTCCCACCCCTGCACACGCGGACAGAAGTCACATTGTGCCATGGCATGGCGAGGCAAGATGAGATGTGCACATGATATCGCTGTAGTCGCCAGTCGCTTTCGCTTTGGCAGACTGGCCAGTGTGGACTCTCATGCCCCGCCTCATCCACCCGCAGCACCAAGAAACATTCCCACCAAAGAGACGGCTCTTTGGTCTACCGACTCAGGTCCCTCGGGATTACTCAGCGACAGGAAGCAGAGGATCGACCCATCCTCCCTCTCATACTCATCATCCACCCACACCACACCACCCATGCTATCAGGGAACTTATGCATTAGGGATGCTTCACTTTTAAAATGAAGCTCTCCCAGACAGCAAGCCTCTCAGAAAGCAACATTACTCACGGGCAGGAAGCAGAGAATCGACCCGTCCTCCCTCGCACACTCATCATCCACCCATGCCACCAGGGAGGGAGGAAGAGGAAAGCACTATCACATACATCAAGGAACGAAAGGCAACATTACTCACAGGCAGGAAGCAGAGAATCGACCCATCTTCCCTTGCATACTCATCATCCACCCACGCCACGACCCTCGCTGCCAGCTCAGCATCGAGCTCGTCCTCGTCAGCGCACCCGTACTTGGGGTGCAGCGCTTGGCGCAGCACTGATGGCACGTGGCGGCCCATGAGGGAAGGGAGGTCGTCCAGAGAGTAGACTGAGACCGGGTGGATGAACCCGGGGATTGCGAGCATGGGGCAGTGGTGGAAGTAGCTGGGTGGGGAGGGGGGGGGGGAGGGCGTGGGAAAGAACAGGGGAGGCACAACGAAGGAAAAGGAAATAAGTTAGGAACAAGCAAGAAGGGTTAAGAGGAGTGGAAGGGAGGAGAAGGAGGTTGGTTGGCCATGAGGGATGGTAGATCGTCCAGAGAATAGACCGAGCATGGGGCAGTGGTGGAAGTAGCTGGGGTTGGGGAGAATGGGGGAGAGGGGGGAGAGGAGATGGGGAAACAGCGAAGGGGAAGGGGAGGGGAAAGAAAGGGGTTGAAAATGTGCAGGAGGGGTTCGGAGGAGTGGATGGATACGGCAGAGGGAGCATGGCGGGACGGGCCATGAAGGGGAGTGCGTGGCGCAGCAGGTAGGGCACGTGGCGGCCCATGATGGGATGGTAGATTGGTGAGGGAGTGGACTGAGACGGGTTGGATGAAGCCAGGGATGGCGAGCATAGGGCAGTGGTGGAAGTAGCTGGGTGGGGAGTGGGGCAACGGCGAAGGGGGAGGGAAGGGGGAAACGAGACAGAAAGAGGGGAAGAGGAGGGCGTTGTGGTTTTACGCGCAGGACAATCGAATGGGAGGAGACGACGAGGTGAGAGAGGAGAGGCACAAGCAAGTGGGAGTCAGTGCATATCGAGCTTGAGAAGCATGGAGGAGGGACCGCAAAGAGAACAAGAGAGGACAGGGGAGCCGACCAACTGGAGAGGGAACGAAGGGGGCACGATGAGATAAGGGTGACATCATACAGGTTATAGAGGGAAGGGAGGGGCGAAAAGGGTGGATGCAACTCCACAAAGACAACCACCATGACTACAAGAAAAACAACCGCGATGGGAACGATGCAGCGTACTGCCATGCCACCAGGTTTTGAGGCGCAGCACAAGAGACACGTTATGCCGTACCACCAGCTCGCTCACTCGTCTCGACCGACCCCGATCGGCCGGTTTACGGAGACCGGACAGACGTTGCAGCAGCCACCTCCTTCCTCTCATCCTTCTCCTTGACTTGTGAGGCTCAGCAGCAGCAGCAGCAGGTAGTATTGGCAGCAGCAAGGAGCAGCAAAAGCTGTTCACCAGTAAAGAAACAGCAATGGCAACCCCGGCTGCCACTGCCACTGCCACTGCTGCTGAGCCTCTCACTGGCAGGCCCGCTGGGAGCAGATGAGAGGAAGGAGGCTGCTGCCGACACGATCGAAATCGAGAAAGGACGAGTGAGCGAGCTGGTGTCACGCAGGGGGGGAGGAAAAGGGGGGGTAGGAGAAAGCTTACGAAGCTGACTGGAGCAAGCAAAACTGTAGTATGTTTAAGGAGGAAGCAGCGAGGGAGGGAACTGGACAACCAAGGAAGAACCCTCCTTGAAGCAGCACACATGGCTTCCAAGTTTGACCCATTTGGCATCAATTGCCCCATTTCTCCACTCCAATTCCCCTTCTTGCCCAGCCCTCGTCTGTGCATACGCCTTGGCTCTTAATTATTTCAAACTGTGGAGACTGGGAGAGAGCGAAAATGTGATTCAAGTACATATTGGTGGAGCGTAGGAGAGTGCTTGGTACAGAATTACCACGGTTGACAGTGACGATGATGACGATCACATGAATGCTGTGGTGTGCGGTTTTGAGGCCCCTCAGTTTTGAGGCGCCTCAAAACTTGACGATAATGACGATCACATGAATGCGGTGGTGTGCGGCGGGGAGGCATGCTCTTGGCTTCGAGGTGTCCTGGGTTTTGCCCTTCTCCACTTTCCTCAATTTCAACCACCAACTCAACCTTCACCAGACTGTCCTCCACTCATGATGTGCACTCTCCCTGGCTTGTCATATCCCATCAGCCTGCTGCATGTTGGCTCGCCACCAACTCATAAACGCCTATTGTGTGCACTCGTTTTGACTTGGTGTGTATTCCGTCAGTGTGTTGGCGACACGGACTTGGCTTGGCCTAATGTGCTTCGCTGATACCTGGTGACACACGATTGACCAATGATAGGCGGCCAAACGGGTCATGCAGTGCAGTACCCTGTCTGCGATGCGATTACCAGATTTAGGGCTATGCCCTCTCGCATTGAGTTGAATTTTGAGGCGCCTCATAATTCGACTACCAGATTCAGGGCTATGCCCTCTCATTTTTTTATAACGCGCCTTCCCCTGCCCTGCATGGGTACAGTGAACCGTTCTGGGTAGACACCAAAATAGATTGTGCATTTGCAGCATCTGAACATGCCTACGTGTATGCGTACACAATTAGCAAGTCATGTCGCATCCACATGCATATTGCTAGCAGGTAGCATCACGTACCTCAAGCTCGCTCTCGCTGACCTAACAATGGCAGGGGTGACCGGCGAAGAAAGAGGGCAATGACAACTCACGAGGTGAAGAGATGAGCATAGCTGGTGGCGCTCATGATGACCACACCACACGGATACGGGAGTGCACGGCGGGGGTTGAAAGCATCCGCTAAGCTCTCTCCACCCTTACACAATGGCAACTTGCGAAGAAAAGAGGCAATGGTAAGTAACTCACGAGGTGAAGAGATCGGCATCGATGGTGGCGCTCATAATGACCACGCGGATACGGGAGGGCACGGTGGGGGAGGAGAGCATCTGCTTGAGCACGATGAGGAGGAAGTCGGTGTCCATGTCCCTCTCATGCACCTCGTCCACTATCACATGGCTCACCCCCTCCATGCCCTCTGGACTCTGTGAAACGATGCCAGGGAAAAGGGACGAGGGGGATGGAAGGGCGGGGTGGGGAAGGGGGGGGGGGGGGGGGGGGGAGGAGAAGGGATGGAAACAATGGAAATCAAATTGGTGGATGAGGCACGAAAAGATGCAACCGGGTGTCGGCGGGCACGGTGGGGAAGGAGAGCATCTGCTTGAGCACGATGAGGAGGAAGTCGGTGTCCATGTCCCTCTCATGCACCTCGTCCACTATCACATGGCTCACCCCCTCCATGCCCTCTCGGCTCTGGGGAATGGTGACAACGGGAGGTTGGGAGGGTGGGAAGGGGGAGGGGTATGGGGGAAGGAGTGATAAAAATGAAGGGCCACACCTCCTCCACTATCACATGGCTCACATCCTCCATGCCCTCCGGGCTCTGGGGAGAATATAAATAACGAGGGTGATGGAAGATATGGGAAAGATGGGAATGAGATGGTGGGGTGCGTGGAAACAAAGAAAGGCGGATGAGGCAACATAGGGAAACAAGGCAAGGGCACCCAAAGCAGGACAATGTGCGTATCGCCCTCGTGTTGCGGATGTGATAATACTACTCATGCACCGTGTCGCATTATTCCATAGAACTGAAATTGTTATATGGAATATTGTAACAGCGCGAAGAGTGTAGAGAGCTGTGGTTGTGGCTAAGGTTGGAGACCGCGAGGAAACCGAGGACTCAGGGTACAGCTCGAGGCAGGGCTCGAAAGGGGGTAAGTACGGTTGGATGGGGGCCACAATGACGTGGCGGCGGGGCATGACAAGCTGAGTTGGGAGTTGGGGAGAGGGCCAGCTAAGCAAGGCAGGTCACGAGGGAAACCCCAAGGCGCCCTCACGGCGGAGAAAACCAAGAAAGGTTTGACAGGTTGTCTCATGCACAGTTGGAGGTGCTCCTAGTGCGATTCGGGGAGGGGAACAACAAAACTCGTAGAGTAACAGAGCTAAACCACTTCTGTTTGTTCTCTCGCTACTGTGGTATGCCTGTATGCTCTTCTACTAGTGAATCGGCTGGAGCAAATCTTGATCCACTAAAGAGAGGCCAAACAGAGGGTGTGCGGAGAACTAGGGACATCGTTTGTCCTAGTGCGGATCTCTTACAAACAGAAGTCTAAATGACCGGAATGTCGTTGCGGAGCGGCACCCGGTTGCCAGGGGAAGAGAATTCCCGAGAGAAGGAAGATCGCGCGGCCGAGAAAGCCAGCGCGGGACCGGCGGAGCCCGAAGCCGAGGAAGAAGAGAATCGGGGAGAGCCGAGCCACCCGGAGCAGGGAGATCGGCGATCGCGTGACGAAGAGAAGCGGCGCGAGGAGGAGTTCGCGATGAGAGCGGATCGACCGCTCAGAGGAGAACGGCGCTCGCCGAGGAAAACCTTGGAAGGTGCGAACTCGGCGGAAGTGACAACGCCGAAGGCGCGATCATCTAATTGGCGTGTGCCGGGAGAGGAAGGATCTTCGGGAGCCGAGATCGGAGAAGGATCAGCAGGGCGCGCGTCGAGGAGGACGTTGGGAGAAGAGGGTAGCAGATACCGCTACACGAGCTTACCTAAGGTGGAGGTACCTGCACGCTTCACCGGTGATCAAGAATCGGGGCCCAGGCTGAAAACCTACGCGATGCATGTGCGCAGCGAGAAATACTGCTGGGAACTGGACGGGCTGGATCTACGTCACTTCTTCCGCTCGCTGGGCAACACGCTAGCGGGAGAGGCGGAGGCCTTCTTCCTGGAAATTCGGGATCTGCTCCTCGAAGAGGAGGAGAGGGACAAGCTGGGCAGAGTTAGGCGAGATGCAGAGGGACGCGTCATTCGATTGGAAGACCCCACGGAAAGGTTCCTGGAAGAATTGCAGACTCACTTCCCGACCCAGACGCCGGCGAGGTTGAGGGAGTTTGAGCAGGTGAGGCGAGGGCATCGAGAATCGCTGCTGGCGTACTACCGGAGGGTGAAGCAGTTGGCGGAAGACATCAGCTGTCACGATCCGCGTATCGTGGTGGCGAAATTCCTGGATGGGCTCTCGGGAGAGCTGGCGCGTACTGTGAGGGATAGAACCTACGATCTGGGGCCGAACGCGTCACTCCGGCAGGCGTACGAGATTGCTTGGCGACACGAGCAGTCACTCAGTCTTTATGACCTGGGAAGACGGACAGACAGGGGACCTCGGGACAAAGAGAGAAGGCCAGTGACATGGAGTGGGGCCTTGCTGGCCGAAGGTGAGGAAGAAGAGCCGGACAAGGCGAGGGAGCGCAGAGGACAAGTCAGACGGGCCAGGAATCCTACTGCGGCCGCCGGAGAAGAACCAGTGTGCTACAAATGCCACGAGCCTGGCCACTTCAAGAGAGACTGTCCCAAGGTCCAGACGTGCTCATATTGCCAGCGGAAAGGACATAACAAGAAAAGCTGTTATACTCGTCAGAGAGAAGAGCGGCACAAGGGAGGGAGGCGCAGTCGGATAGCAGCTCTGGAGGAAGAGCTGAGGAAGCTGAAGGCTGAGGAGGTGTCCAGCGGTGAAGAAGAGGAAGCCACCGGGTTGATGGCCAGAGGACAGAGTGAGTCGGAGGATGACCTGGAGGAGCCAATATTCATGGCGAGGGATGCAGACCGGGCAAGGGAGGAGCTGGGCCTGAGAAGCGAAGGGAGGGATAACAGAAGCTCTACCCCGATAGCAAGACGTGGCCCGAGAGCAAGCGTAGAACGCTCGGTAGAAAGAGCAGAAGGAGTGGTGACAGCAGCAACAGCGGCAGGAGAGGTCGGGCCCCGACGTCACCCGTTCGAGAGGTTGGCGGCACGTCCCTGCGTAGTAGAGGCATTGGAGGGGACGGTGGCAGTGGAAGGAAAATACCCAGGAACGACAATCATCGATACAGGAGCATCGCAAGTCTTGGTGGGGAGAAGGATGGCTGAACGGCTGGGGTTGCACCAGGAAGACAAGGTGACCAGGGAAGGTGTAAGGATACAGACTGCAGAAGGAGGAGGAGGGAAGTGGCTACCTAGGTCCTTGAAACCTCAGGAGGTGGTGCTGTCCCCAGGGAGCGAGAACGAAACAAGGATCAGGGTGCACTGCCTCATCTCGGACTCGGAGGACTACGACTTACTGCTAGGTATGGAACTGCAGTACAAAGTGGGGGCCGTGGTAGACACCTGGACCGAGAAGGTGACTTACCAGCCGCTATATTGGGATCCCGAAGCAAGGAAGGAAGAGCACCTAGCAGCGAGTCTGCCAGCACGATTCCTGAGGGGAAAAGTGGCCTACCAGGAGCCGTCACCGGAGAGGGTGCCAGAGTGGAACTACGAGGACTGCGGGGTGTTCCTGGAAAAGACCAAACAAAGGTAAGAGGTGGAAGAGGCAGCCGGGGAGAGAGTGGGAGAGCTCGGGGAGGCAAGAGGGTTAGCAGAGCCTACTTATGACTTCGAGACCTTCCACAAGCCGGTGACTCTGTTGGAGCTATTTGGAGGCATAGGCCCGGGACTGGCAGCCACAGTTCGGACCGGACTAACTATCAAGCGATGGGTGTACATCGAAAAAGAGGCAGAAAAGCGCCGCATGGCATACCACCACGCGAGAATGCTACACCAACACTACCCCGAGAGATTGCCGCTGGCGGTGATAGAGCGGGCAGAGGTGGAAGCGGAAGGCCTGGCAGAAGTGGAGATGGTAGATGAAGGAGTGGTGGAAACATGGGGAGACATAGACTTAATGGTGGCGGGATGGGAGTGCCAGGGCCTGTCAAGGGCAGGCCAAGGAAGGGGAATGACGGATGCACGCACGGGACTGTTCCAGGAAATGATCAGGATTATGAAATTAATCAAGAGGCGGCAGGGACCATTCGCGTACATAGTGGAGAACCTGGACGTGGCGGAGGACGAGAGGGCCCTAGTCCGAGAAGCTCACAAGGCGGTGACCAGAGAGCTGGGACATGGGGTAGCGTGGGATGCTGCTCAGATGGGGGCCAGGGCACATCGGGTGAGGCGGTATTGGCAGAACCTAGTGCCCGAGCCAGTGTTAAGGGACCAGCTGGGGAGAATGCAGAGGCCGATACCACGACTGGTCCAGGAGATTCTGGAGCCGGGGAGGAGGCCCGCCCCAGTCACGTCGCCAGATTGCAAGCTGCAGTACCCATGCAATGAGGTGGGGGCACCCAGACAGGCGTGGCCCACTTTGGTGGCCTCTCCAGGCAGCTATGCTTTCCAGAAAGAAGGAGATCAGCCGGGACCGGGGATGGTACAGGTAATAGAGACGGGAGAATGGGAGGAACCGCTGGCGGTAGAAAGAGAAAGAGCTATGGGGTATCTACGGAACGCCACAGCGGCAGAAGGAGTCTCAGAAGAGGCTCGCAGGAGAGCTCTGGGAGGAGCGATTGACCAACATGCGCTGGTGTGGCTGCTATACCGCGCAGAGAAGAGGCAGGAGGTGATGAGGGCTCAACTCTTGATGCACTGGAGGTGGGCAGACATCATGGAGATGACCGAGGGCGAACCAGAAAAGGCGCAGGAGCTAGCGGCTGAATGGAGAAGGATGAGGGCTGATCAGCTGGCGCGCGGAGAGTGGCAGGAAGGGATGCTGAACAGCCGAGGGATTCACCTCATGGCGAAGCAACCAGAGAACAGTCAGGCGGAAGAGACGGCAGAAAGGGAAGAGCAAGCGGAAAGTGCGCCGAAAGGGGGAGGATGTGAAAAGGAGACGGAAGAAATCGCAAGCTGGACCATTGGCGAGGCCCTGAGTCAGGAGCAGAAAGAAAAGCTGAGACGGGTCTTGCCCAAAGCAAGGGGAGCATTTGCATACTCACTGAAGGAGTTGGGGAAATGCAATCGAGCAGAGATGGAGATAGAACTCCAGACTGAGGTGCCGGTCTATCAGAGAAGGAGAAGAATGAGCCCCGGGGACAGGGATGTGGCAGCAGAAAAATGTCAGGAGCTTCTGGAGGCGGGATTGATCAGAGAGTCCACGTCAGAATACGCAGCGGCGACCGTAGTGGCAGCCAGGAAAGACCTCACAGGAGAGACCTTGGCCCGCAGGATGTGTGGGGATTATAGGGGCTTGAACCAAGTGACGAAGAGTGACAGGTACCCCATGCCAATAACTGAGGAGATCTTCGACAAGCTGTCGAAGGGCCGAGTGTACTCAACGCTGGATCTACGGCAAGGGTTCAATCAAATTCCAATAAAGGAGGAAGACAAGAAGAAGACTGCGTTTCATGGACCCGACCGTCTCTATGAGTGGAATTACATGCCGTTCGGCTTGAAAAACGCGTCGGCAAAATTCCAACGGGTCATGGACCAAGTGTTACAAGGGCTGACCTGTGCACTGTGCTACATTGACGACGTGGTGATCTACAGCGAGGATGCAGAGAGACACATTCAAGACGTGGCTGACACCCTGGCAGCCATCCAAGCTGCGGGACTAACATGTCACCCAGGGAAGTGTACATTTGGAGTGACAACAGTGGCTTATCTGGGGTTTCAAGTGGGAGAAGGAGGTCTGTCCGTGCAGCAGGCCAAAGTGGAAGTGGTGGACAGGTTGAGAGCGCCGACGGACCGAAGCACGCTCAGGGCCCAGCTCGGGTTCTTGAGTTATTACCGGAAGTTCATACCGAACTTCAGCAAAACAGCAAGGCCCCTCAATATGCTCTTGAGGGAAGATCAAGGATGGGAATGGGGGGAAGAACAGGAAGGAGCATGGAGAGTCCTGAAGGAAGCGGTAAAGACAGCACCCATGCTGAAATTGCCGGACCCCGAGGAGCCATTCACCTTGTATACTGACTGGAGCAGCAGCGGGCTGGGGGCAGTCCTCTGCCAGAAGGAAAGAGGCACGGAAAGAGTGGTGGCATACGCGAGCCGGTCCTGCAGTCCTGCCGAAAGCAATTACAGCTCGTATGAAGGAGAGGGGCTGGCAGCAGTCTGGGCGGTGGAGCTGTTCAGAGCGTACTTGCAGGGACACAAGTTCACTCTCGTTACGGATCATCAACCTCTGTTATGGTTGATGAGGAACCAAACGCTGAAGGGCCGTAACGCAAGGTGGGCGATGAGGCTCCAGGAATTCGAATTCGAGGTGAAGCACAGGCCGGGCAAGACGTTGCAGCATGTAGATGGGCTGTCTAGGCAAGGAGCAGAAGAGAGAAGGGAGAACCAGAGGAGCTCGGAAGCGGGACTAGCCTGCCTGGCCGTAGCAGCGGAACGGGAAGGCTGGAGGAGGAGGACAGAAACGGATAAAGGCAACAAGGAGATCTGGCTGGATGAGCCGGTACTACGATGGGTGAAAGGCCTGGGGGCAGAGGGAGAAGAGGTGCCAGAGCGAGTACGAGCCCGAGGGATTCACTACCGCTGGCAGGACGAACAGCTACAACTGTTGACAGAGGACGGGTGGAGAATCGTACCCAAACCCGAGGAGAGGCAAGAGCTGATCCAGAAAGTGCACACCCGCTTGGGGCACTTCGCCGTGGAAAGGACGGTACAACTATTGCAGACAATGTACTGGTGGGTGGGCCTCAGGAGAGAGGTGAAGGAACGCTTAGAGAAATGTGAACCATGCAGCAGGAACCGGGCGACGATGGAGAAGGCCAAAGCGGAGCTGCACTCGCTGCCGATTGGAGGCATCGGGTACAGGTGGTCTCTAGATATTGCAGGAGAGCTGCCTCTGTCCAGGAGAGGTAAGCAGTACATTTTGGTGATGATAGAGCATACCAGTAAATGGGTGGAGGTAGCCACGCTGGTGCGGAAATCAGCAGCAGCAGTTGCAGAAGCGTTTGTGCAACAAGTACTCACGAGGTTCGGGGCGTGTGGAGAGGTCCTCACAGACCAGGGCAGCGAATTCGCGGGGGAATTTGACAAGATGCTGAAGGAGGTGGGGATCACACATCGCAGAACGTCCAGGTATCATCCACAATCAGATGGCCTGACGGAGCGTATGGTGCAGACCATAAAAAGGGGGTTGAGGAAATACTGTGAAGAGGAAGAGAAGAGGGACTGGGACGTCAAACTCCCATGGGTAGTGGCGGGGTACCGATTCAGCAAGCAACAGGCGCTGAAGGATTACTCGCCGTACTACTTGCTCTTTGGGAAGGAACCGATCTTACCGGTGGATGCCCCCAGGATAATGGTGGAGTCAATGTCAGTAGAGGACCCGGCAAAGTGGGCAGCGGTAGCAGCAGCCAGGGCCAGCTATCTGAGGACCGCAATGCCGGCGGCTTGGGAGAATTTGGAAGTGGCGCAGATCAGAGATGCCCGGCGCTACAGGCAGAGAAGGATGGAGGTCGGTGCTAATGCAAAAGGGGCTAGGGTGATAAACGTAGGAGACGAAGTGTATCTGAGGCAGCAGAGGCGAGACACCTTAGAATGCGGGTTGAGTCGGGAACGATGGAAGGTGAGGTCGAGGAAGGACTCAGGAGTGGTGATACTGGAGGGAGGGACAGGCAGAGTGATCCAAGATCACATCTCGAATGTTGCAAGGGCAGGCTCGTCACGACATGCCAGCGGGGACGCCAGGCAGGCCGTGAGGGGGCAGGAGAGTATGGTGCAACCACTGATTACGTACCAACGGAGGAAGGACAAGAGGATGGGAGATAGACCTGGAGCGTCAGCAGGGTACTAAGGCTGAGGAGAAGAGAGTGAGCCGCCGGAGGGGAGAGGACAGTGCGACAGCTGTCGCATTATTCCATAGAACTGAAATTGTTATATGGAATATTGTAACAGCGCGAAGAGTGTAGAGAGCTGTGGTTGTGGCTAAGGTTGGAGACCGCGAGGAAACCGAGGACTCAGGGTACAGCTCGAGGCAGGGCTCGAAAGGGGGTAAGTACGGTTGGATGGGGGCCACAATGACGTGGCGGTGGGGCATGACAAGCTGAGTTGGGAGTTGGGGAGAGGGCCAGCTAAGCAAGGCAGGTCACGAGGGAAACCCCAAGGCGCCCTCACGGCGGAGAAAACCAAGAAAGGTTTGACAGGTTGTCTCATGCACAGTTGGAGGTGCTCCTAGTGCGATTCGGGGAGGGGAACAACAAAACTCGTAGAGTAACAGAGCTAAACCACTTCTGTTTGTTCTCTCGCTACTGTGGTATGCCTGTATGCTCTTCTACTAGTGAATCGGCTGGAGCAAATCTTGATCCACTAAAGAGAGGCCAAACAGAGGGTGTGCGGAGAACTAGGGACATCGTTTGTCCTAGTGGGGGCAGGAGAGTATGGTGCAACCACTGATTACGTACCAACGGAGGAAGGACAAGAGGATGGGAGATAGACCTGGAGCGTCAGCAGGGTACTAAGGCTGAGGAGAAGAGAGTGAGCCGCCGGAGGGGAGAGGACAGTGCGACAACCGTATACACGGATGTGGGTGCGTATACAGGGTAGGGTAGCAGCAATCAGTCCGCAACCCACACCCTTGCCACTGAAGGGAGACTAGCCAGCGCAGCTCACGCTCACACGCACACTCCTGCAGTCGCCTGAGCAGGACGCCGACAGTGCAGAAGAGAATGCCGGCTCTGACCCTGGCTACTCACATTACATCCACCAAGCACCGACCATACCCTTACTGCTGGAGACTATTCAATCAGCAACAGCCAATGCCCCACACGCAAACACACCTGCAGTCGCCTCAGCAGGACATGCAAACACACCTGCAGAAGAGAATGCCGGCTCTGGCCCTGGCTATTCACATTACATCTAATAAGCATAGACCATACACTCACTGCCACGTGATAAAAGAGCTGTTTTGAGAGGTCTCATATCAGAACAACACTTGTATCATGTGGCTCCACTCCACTGGCTACTCACATTCATCTAACAAGCACGGACCATACCTTCACTAGTGACAACTGTTCAACCAGCACAGCACAGTCAATGCCCCCCACACAAACACACCTGCATTCGCCTCAGCAGGATGCCGACAGTACAGAACAGGATGCTGCCTCTGGCCCTGGGCGGGTTGCTGTCCAGCCGAATGCGGTACCCCACACTGTCGCCCAACGCCTCGCCCCTCTCCCATGCCACACGCTCTGCCACACTGTGGGGAGGGGGTGGGATATGGTAACACGAGAATGAGCGAAACCGAGGGTTTCTGTCCAGCCGAATGCGGTACCCCACACTGTCGCCCAACGCCTCGCCCCTCTCCCATGCCACACGCTCTGCCACACTGTGGGGAGGGGGTGGGATATGGTAACACGAGAATGAGCGAAACCGAGGGTTGCTGTCCAGCCAAATGCGGTACCCCACACTGTCGCCCAACGCCTCGCCCCTCTCCCATGCCACACGCTCTGCCACACTGTGGGGAGGGGGTGGGATATGGTAACACGAGAATGAGCAAAACCGAGGGTTGCTGTCCAGCCGAATGCGGTACCCCACACTGTCCCCCAATGCTTCAGCCCTCTCCCATGCCACACGCTCTGCCACACTGTTGGTATGGGGTGGGGTAGGGACAGGAGAATGAGCGAAAACAAGAGTTGCTGTCCAGCCGAATGCGGTACCCCACACTGTCCCCCAATGCCTCGCCCCTCTCCCATGCCATGCCACTCGCTCTGCCACACTGTTTGTGCGGGGGGGTGGGGTGGAGGGAGGAAGGGAACAAGATATAGTGTGTTTTGAGTCAACTCAAGACACACCTAGATATAGTTGACAGAAAGATGCGGAACCAGAGCTGAAACGGGGGCTTTTGAGACGTCTCAAAAGCAGAGCTGAAACGGGGGCTTTTGAGACGTCTCAAAAGCAGAGCTGAAACGGGGGCTTTTGAGACGTCTCAAAAGCAGAGCTGAAACGGGGGCTTTACGTGCCTTGGGACGAGAGCTGAACACCAGGGTGCAACTCTTGGAACGAGATACAGGAGAAACAGAGGAGGGAAGAAAGGACAGCAAGACGAAGGGCTGTTGGGAATAAAACCTTGAACCAGTATGCGTGGAAAAAAGGCATCGACAGAATAGGGAAAATCCACATTTAAGCATCAGCGCAGGCAGGGTAACAGCAAGGGGGAGATATAGGGCCAACCAAGAGTGTGGCACAACAATGGAGCTGCAACGAAGAATCAGTTGAAGTGAAAGAGCTAGGGCGAGAGACGACTTTTGAGACGTCTCAAAATCCGTGTGTAAGTAGACGACTTTTGAGACGTCTCAAAAGACAGCAAGGGGGAGATATAGGGCCACCCAAGAGTGTGGAGTGGAACAATGGAGTTGCAATGAATAATCAGTTGAAGTGAAAGAGCTAGGGCGAGAGGGGGAGTACCTCAGAGCTGCGATTCTGCGAGGCTGGGTGACTATAATGTGTGTGCTGCTAGCAGTGCCATTTCGCTCCGAGTCTTCCAGAATGAACTGAGGGACCTGCCAATCCAACCAACAACAAGTGGGAACGAAGCATCACGAGAAGTGCAATGAGTTGCAGTGTATTGGGTTGCAGTGCAAGACATGAGCAAGGCATGGTCGCTTCGACCATGACCATGAGTGAGCATTGATTGAGCCAGGCCGGGTCTGCCCTGTGTGTAACACGGTTTCTGCTGATCAGTGACCTTCTCACGCTGATCTGTAACAGTGACACATGGTCTCGCGCTGATCTCGCGCTGACACGTGGTGGGCCAGCCTGGGGCCGGCCGGCCCAAAGGCATCAGCAGCAGAGAGTCGCCCCAAGCCTCATACTATAGCCAGCGGCAGAGCAGAGGGTCGAGAAGCGCACTAGCCCCTATCTGGGTGGTCTTGCCACAGCCAGTCTCCCCAACAATGAGCGACACTGGGTTTGCATGCACCATTTGCACCACTGCATCCCTCTCCTTCCACGCTGGCAGCCTCTCCCTCCCAACCTTTTGAGTCGACTCAGAGGTCACCTATCAGGCTATCCCCCTACCTGGGTGGTCTTGCCACAGCCAGTCTCTCCAACAATGAGCGACACTGGGTTTGCATGCACCATGCGCACCACTGCATCCCTCTCCTTCCACGCTGGCAGCCTCTCCCTCCCAACCTTTTGAGTCGACTCAGAGGTCACCTATCAGGCTATCCCCCTACCTGGGTGGTCTTGCCACAGCCAGTCTCTCCAACAATGAGCGACACTGGGTTTGCATGCACCATGCGCACCACTGCATCCCTCTCCTTCCACGCTGGCAGCCTCTCCCTCGCTCTCCACCTGTCCTCCATCTCCCTTGCCGCGCTCCTCCTCTCAGCAGCCAATCTGAACCGTTCATCCAGGTAAGGATCCCTCGGGTACGGTCCAGATACATCCATTGCTGCTGCTGCCGCCGCCGCCGCTGCTGCTCCTGCTGCCGCCGCTGCTGCTGCTCCCCCTGCTGCTGCTGCTGCTGCTGCTGCTGCTGCTGCTGCTGCTGCTGCTGCTGCGTTAGATCCAGAACCAGAGGGGTACGGGAGCGAGGAGGAGGAGGAAGGGAGCGTGCCTGTGGAGTGAGGGCGGGGAAGCAAGCCATTGCCTTGGGTGGTGTAGTCGGGAGGGTGGGAGGGGAGAGGAGGCGAGTGCGAGGGGGGAGGGAGAGACGGTGGCTTGGGCAGGCTGGAGTGGAACTCGGAGAGCACGTCCTCAAGAAGGGTGATGTCGGCTGGATCGAGGGAGAGGCGCGGGGTCTGGTTGGGTGGGAGGGAGAGGGAAAAGGGCAACGAGGGAATATTGTTTAGCACCTCAGCTGGAGTGGAACTCGGAGAGCACATCCTCTAGAAGGGCGATGTCCGATGGGTCGAGGGTGAGGCGCGGGGTCTGCATGGGTGGGAGGGAAAAAAAGGGGAGATACCCGAATGAGCTTCGAGGAACCTCAAGAGACGGTGGCTTGGGCAGGCTGGAGTGGAACTCGGAGAGCACGTCCTCTAGAAGGGCGATGTCCGATGGGTTGAGGGGTGACAGAGAAGAGGTGAATGGGAGAATGGGGGAATCGGGAAAGGGGAATGCATGTGAGGCACGTCAACAGCAGGCTGGAGTGGAACTTGGAGAGCACGTCCTCTAGAAGGGCGATGTCCGATGGGTTGAGAGAGAGGCGGGGGATCTGGTTGGAAAGGAGGGAGAGAGAAAAGGGCAGCGAGGGACTCACATGCAGGCACTCACATGCACGCACTCACATGCCGCACACACCACCAGTAACTTTGGGATCCACTTAACGATGTATCACGCACTGCAGACAATGCATGCACCTGTCCCTGATCCTTGGCCAGCATGCCAGCACTGCCACCACTCTGTCCCATGGCAGCAAGGTTGGAGGAGGAAGGTGCTTTGAGCAGCCCCAGCTTGTGCAGGCGCTCACACGCAGCCACACTCAAAACAGATGCACACACACACACGGCACTGCACACACCTGTCCCTGATCCTTGGTCAGCATGCCTCCACCACCGCTCTGCCCTCCCAGGGCAGCAAGGTTGGAGGAGGAAGGTGCCTTGAGCAGCCCCAGCTCGTGCAGGCGCTCACACGCAGCCACGCAGCAGCTCCTCTCCGCGTCCGCCTTGTTGCGCCCCCTCCCCCTCGCCACCCACACCTGCGCTCCGGCCCCCCTCCCCAACGGCACATCCAGCTCCGCATAGAACACCTGGGGAAGGAGGAGGGGAGGGGGGTGGAAGAAGTGAAATAACTGAAGTTTTTAAAAAAGGATTGAAGGGACGGGGAACTGTGGGTCTGCCCGCCCCACCTCCTCAGCAGAACATACAGCTCCGCATAGAACACCTGAGGAAGGGGGAGGGGAGGGGGGATTGGGGGGGAGAGGGAATGTACCACACTCCAGTCCCTCCCCAGCAGCACATCCAGCTCTGCTCTGCATAGAACACCTGGGGAAGGAGGAGGGGAGGGGGGATGGGGGGGAGATGGAGGAGTAAGGGAGATAAAGATAGAAGAGGCTTGAGGGAAGATTGAAGGGAGGGGGGGGGGGCACTGACTGAACACCCACCGAATGATCAGTGCTGTGATGTGCTACCACAGAATGTGGACAGTCAACAGCGCACCTTGCCATGGTCAGGGCCTGCAGAGGAGATGCGGATGTTGAGCTTCCCTCCCTTGTTGACAATCCAATCCTTGAACACCGGACAGTGCTGCAGAATTTGGGTTCTTGAGCCAACTCCCTGGTGATTTGGGCCTTTCCCCGAACCTAGAAACCCAAGTCATCAGCGCAACCCAAGGCAGCAGCGCACTTTGCCATGGTCAGGGCCTGCAGAGGAGATGCGGATGTTGAGCTTTCCTCCCTTGATAACGATCCAGTCCTTGAACTCCGGACAGTGCTGTGCTATGATGTGCTTCACAATGTGATTTCCAACCCACCAACCCACCAACCAACCAACCCACCAACCAACCCACCAACCAACCAACCCACCAACCAACCCACCAACCCACCAACCAACCAACCAACCAACCCACCAACCAACCAACCGATCAACCCACCAACCCACCAACCCACCAACCAACCAACCAACCAACCAACCAACCAACCAACCAACCAACCAACCAACCAACCCACCAACCCACCAACCCACCAACCAACCAACCAACCAACCAACCAACCAACCAACCAACCAACCAACCAACCAACCCACCCACCCACCCACCCACCCACCCACCAACCAACCAACCAACCAACCAACCAACCAACCAACCAACCAACCAACCAACCAACCAACCAACCAACCAACCAACCAACCAACCAACCAATCAACCAACCAACCAACCAGCCAACCAATCAGCCCACCTTGCCGTGGTCAGGGCCTGCAGAGGAAACCCGGATATTGAGCTTCCCTCCCTTGTTGACGATCCAGTCCTTGAACACCGGACAGTGCTGCAGAAAGTTCTTGGGGTTCTCCGCCCACACGGACGACAGCCCACCACTACTCCCTCCCCCTCCACCCCCTCCACCCCTTCCTCCCCCCCCTCCTCCCCTTCCACTTGATCCGGGTCCACTGCCTAAGATAGCAGCAAGATGAGGCGCTGCTTCTTCGGGCAACCGTAGCAGATCTAGGTCCTGGGGGAGGGGGAGAGGCGAGGGAGAGGGGTTAGCCACCAGAGGAACTATTTTTTAACATAGAAAACACTCTGCAACTTCAAGGAGGCGCCGCTTCTTCGGGCAACCGTAGCAGATCGAGGTCCTGGAGGAGGGGGAGAGGCGAGAGAGAGGAGTTAGCCACCAGGGTGTTTTTATTTTCATTTAAAAACACCCTGCAACTTCCAGGAGCAACTTAGAGGAGGCGCTGCTTCTTCAAGCAGCCGTAGCAGATCCAGGACCTGGGGGGTAGGGGGAGAAGAAGGGGAGAGAGATTAGCCAACCATAAAAAAGGCGGGACTGATCTGTGGCAACCATCCATGCATGCCTGCATGTACATGTACATGTACATCGTATACACTGCTATCTCTGCACATAAGACCATTTGACACGTCTCAAAAAACTTATCTGTTATTGGCACCCATCTATGCTGTGCTATGCATGCCTGCATGTATGTGTAGATCGTAGACACTGCTATCTCTGCACATGAGACCCTGTGATGATAAGCGTGCAGATGAGCACATGCGTGTCGGCTTTTGAGTCGACTCAAAAATCGGCCTGCATGTATGTGTAGATCGTAGACACTGTTATCTCTGCACATGAGACCATGTGATGATAAGCGTGCAGATGAGCACATGCGTGTCGGTCGGCTGCACTGCACGCATGTTCGGAAGCAGGAACACAAGACATGAGCGGTCTGTTTTGATGCAATAATGTCGTCTTGTAAGTCTGCATTTACATTTTAAAAAAATAGTAACGATAACATCATTGATGTTAGTAGCTAAGCAAAACCACCTTGAGATGGAAGCAGGCGTCGATGGCGCACTGCCGCTCTGCCTCCTTCCTCGTCCTCGAGGATCCTCTAGCCGTGAAGCTCGTGAGATCCTGAGGGGTAAAGGAAGGGGGTTTGGGAAAACGGGGTTTGACAACACATTAATCAAATCGTGTACTAAATTGACGGGGAACTGGAACCGATTATGTGGAAAAGGTTCAAATGAAGTCATTTAGACAAACGAACTTTTGCTGAGGCCATCTTTGACTGCTTCAGATTGTTACGCAATAGCAACGTCGTTCATCCTTGATGCCTCTCACGGCTTCCTTACATCGACGCGCACGCGAATCTGCACGGAGACGTCTCCTCCATACAACACAATAGCAACGCCTATCATAACTCATCCTTGATGCCTCTCACGGCTTCCTTACATCGACGCGCACGCGAATCTGCACGGAGACGTCGCCGCCACGTGTCGTTACCGGAACGAGCTCGAATGGCAGGTTCTTATCCGTGTACCGGCCGTGAAACACGGGACTGGCAGCCAGGAGAATCTTAGGGTTTCCCTGAATCATCGCGTCCAGCTTTCCTGCACGTTTCCGCTTGGATCCTACATCGGCGCCAGCGGAAGGCCGGCCGAAGCGATCTGATGTGGAAAGCTGCGCGAAGGATCGCATCGTGCCCTGAATTTGAGAAGAGGGAGGAGGAGGAGGAGGAGGACCTATTATCGAGGATGGCGTGTACGGGTAACCATATGGCTGCTGCCCTTGCTGCTGCTGCTGTAGCTGCTGAAGCTGAGTGTAGGGTATCGAAGCAGGTCCACTCCAGGGGTCCGTTTCCATGCTACACTGCCGGTTCCGCCTCGCTGAAAGCCAAACAATATTAAATTCCAGATTCACAGACACTGGTGGAAGTTCGCGGTTTTGTCAAACGAATGCTTGCGAGGTGATCATGGCTGGAACAAGCACTGTTGGAAAGCAACCCTACGTTGGCAAGATGAAAGAAGCTTGCTGTAATCCCGAGGCCAGAACCAAAACTGTAGGCAGGCAGGCAATGACGAGGCGTTGTGCTCCTAGGACGTATCCTCTGGTCGGGTCATTTTCAAGGTTTAGTCTAGTAGCTGTTCTAGAAATTTATGTATGTGTCATTATAGAAGCAAACTTTCGTAGTAAAATTCGTGTTCTGACAAGCTGGACCTGACTCCACGGACACCAACTGTAACAAAACTTGTAGAGATTACGCCCTTACGATCTCATTCTCTTAAAGACGCCCCCCGTTCTTGTTGTGGGTTCTTGATAACCAAATAATCTCCAAGAACGTAGGATCTCGTCTGAAGCTTCTAGCCATGGCTTCTCTAGCAGAGTGGTGGCTGAACACCAGCTGTCCTGTCGCCGGCCTCCCCTCACTGCGCGCCGTTGCGATCCTCTCAGCCTACGTCGCCTTTCTCATAGTAGCAGGCGAGATTCTTCCCGGAAAAGTGTTTCCTGGAACAGTTCTCGCTGACGGTACCCGCCTCCATTACAAATGCAACGGCTTCCGCGTTCTCCTGCTCCTCCTCGCTCTCCTCGGCTACGGCGTCCAATCCGGACATCTCTCCGCGACCATCGTCGCCGATCTAGCTGGCGAACTTTTCGCGACGACTTTCGCCTTCACAGTACTCCTCTCCCTCGCACTCTACCTCGCGGGAGTCTTTTCAACCAACGCCAAATCTTCCTCCCTGAAACCTAAATTCCACGGCAACTTTATCAGCGATTTCATCTACGGCGTGCAGCTAAACCCGTCCGTGTTCGGGCTCGATCTCAAGTTCTTCTGCCTGCGACCCGCGATGATGGGATGGCTTCTGATCAACCTCTCCATCGCAGCGAAGCAGCATGAGCTTCTGCTGAAACTCCCCGACAACTCACACGCGATCACCCTCGCCTCGTTGAACCTCACCTCCATTCTTCCCGCCAGCGTCGCCAGCAGCAGCATCGCCACCCTCCCTATTATCACGCTTCCCATGTTCCTGTATCAGGTCTTCACCGCTATTTATGTCCTGGACTATTTCTGGTTCGAAGAGTACATGACGTCTACGTGGGACATTATTGCCGAGAATTTCGGCTTCATGCTGGTTTTCGGGGATTTGATCTGGATCCCTTTCACCTTCTCCGTCCAGGCATGGTGGCTGCTGGCCCACGGCACTGCTCGCGACAGTATCGCAGCGACCGTTTCTCTGCCCTTCGCTATTGTCACAGTCGCGGTTTTCGTTGTCGGCTACGCCGTGTTCCGTGGTGCCAACCGCCAGAAGCACATATTCAAGCACGACCCAACGGCTAAAATCTGGGGTAAAACACCCCGTGTTGTTGGCGGCAGGCTGCTGGTTTCGGGTTACTGGGGCATAGCTCGCCATTGCAACTACTTGGGAGATTTGATGCTGGCTCTTTCTTACAGCCTGCCATGTGCTTTCTACTCCCTCTGCCCGTACTTCTACCCTATCTATCTGCTCATCCTTCTGCTTTGGAGAGAGCGCCGGGATGAGGCTCGGTGCCGGGCCAAGTACACGGAGGTCTGGAAGGAGTATTGTAGGATAGTGCCTTGGCGCATTGTGCCCTTTGTCTACTAGGCGGGGTGGATGTTTGTGTCGTGATGGAATGTGTGACAGCATGGAGATCCTGCCCTGGGCAGTGTACCAAAGCATTGAGCATGTTCACATTTCTCTCTTGGATAGGATTATTCGGTTTAGCAATAGAACAAGGTCTACTCTGCTGCCCAGAGAGTGATGAAGTAGGTATGTGGCAAGCTCCTTTGTGAGAGCTTCACTCACTACTTATTTAGTAAGGTACCGTATGTGCTTTCAAAGCAGCTCTAGAAGGACAGCCTCGTATCTGCTTGATCCCCCATTACTCAACTCCACATCATCCCTAGGCTGCCAGTATACACTCCCTCCTGCTTTCCTCAGCTCATTCCAATAGGAACCATCTTTCCCAGACACTGAAATGTCCCCATCATTGAGCGATATCCACACACCATGGAAAGGAATTGCATGCCTTCCCGTGCTCTGGCCCGGGTGCAGTGTGAGATGGTGGATGGCAATGTCAGGCCACTCGCCGCTCTTGTCTCTCTCCCAACCACTCCCCTTGAGCTCTGCACCCTTGAGAGGACTTGACTCTAGCGGGTTTTCTCCTTGAGGCCCATCAGCTCCAGCTGTGCTTGTAACTGCTGCTGGTGCTTCTGGGCCTGGTTGAGAGGGAAACACCTCAACGGCGACTATGTACATTGGCTCTGGATTAGTTTCAAGGGAAATTACCCTGTGAATTTCTGGATGCGTGGTGTAGTTCGCGCAGAAACCCACGCGACTGGGTAGGGCGGTGTCGAGCCATTCCTGGCCGTAGATCTGCTTGCGGTATGCCCCGCCGCTGACGGCGATGAAGTAGGTGTTGCACGCGTGGCGGTGGAAGAGAGTTTCGGCTCCCGCTGGGATCGTGGCTGAGAAAACGCGGACGCGATCGTTGGAGAATACTATCTTATGAAGCGGCTCGTCATCTAATTGCACTATCGGACCTTCAGACGCCATTGCTATGGCTCCTAACACACGTGACCAACTGTTTACGCGCTTCCAGAAAAAATGATCAGTATGTGGAAAATAGGCACGAGTGGATGGGGTGGGTTTGTGGATGACTTCCTTCGCTAGTAGCAGATCCCTCAAGAGAGTTGTTTCTTCTTTGTCGTAATTCTTTGAGCTAAACAGAGTGTCTGGATTGGTGGCACGTCGTGCTGCCTTTTGATTGGTCTTGAACATTCCAGTTTGAGGGGGTGAAACTCTATCCAAACCAGTGAGCTCGTTTGCATTTCGCGTGTCATTATGGTGCCGTAAAAGCCCATCAGAATGCTTGATGCGTTGCGTGGCTTGTGTACCTTTTTGTTCAGTTTCTGCATCCTGAGTTTGTCAGTTTCAGTGCAGAAATACGACCTACCGAGTTGTTTCTTTGGAAGTTCGAAAGTGAGTGGCTGAACCTGGCTCTCTCGGCAAAATCCAGGAACTCGAAATTCAAGGCTATGAGAATCCAGGCTTGTCCAAGGTTATCCATTCATTCTCCGTTCAGGTGACCTGAAGTGGAGTGGCGACGCATCAAGTTAGCAAATTGTTAGGGCTCTTGCTGGTGCGAAGACCGCAATCAGGATTAGTGCAAGTGGGACCATCGCAAGTAGGAGTATTGCGAGTGGGACCATGGCTGCCACAATGCGGACTCTTTCGACCCAGCTGCTCCCCAATTCTCTGAAGAGTATTGCGACGTCGCAAGACGCAGTATGCGGTCGCGATTCTTCCCGAGCTCTGCGCTTCAGGTTGTCGCATCCCTCTTATCGCATTTCTCTCGTCACATCCCTCTTATCGCATCCCTCTCGTCACATCCCTTCCGTCTCGTCGCACGTCGCATGCTCTCGTCGCATCTCTATGCACAAAGCCGTCGCACTGAACGTCCTCGTCGCACAACTTTCGCGAATTCTTGTTCCATGCGTTGCGCTGAAATATTCTCGTCGCATCCAGCTCGCTCGGCTGACACTGAAGTTCCGGCAGATTCTCCTCTCGCTCTTCTCTCCGAATCCCAACTCATTCGCCATTCGCCTCTCGCATTCGTGCGCGTCTGCCGCTGTCGTTCGTTCTCCTGAAAGGAACAGTTTTGAGCCGTCTTTTGAGACGCATCAAAAGTCGTCTGCCTCTGTCGTTCGTTCTCCTCGAACAGTTTCAAGCCCGGCAGTTTCTAGCGTGCCTCCCTCTCGCTTGTTTTTGGAACACCACCTCTCAACCGTCGCACTCCTTCTCACCCTTATCACCCCCCTCATTCCTCTCACTCCTCTCACCCCTCTCATCCCTCACACCCTCCTCATCCCTCTCACTCCTCCACCCCTCTCACTGTGCCGTGCATTCCTCAGGTATCCTCGAACAAACCAAGCCGTCGCAAGTCGTTCGCCGCTCGCAGCCGCCAGAAACACCGCACTCTCCCGCACGTCCCCCTCACGTGCCTCCATTCTTGGAAATCAAACCCCTCAAATTGGAAAGCACCATGTCAAGACGCGGGTGAGGGTGGCAGCGGTGGCGACAGGCGAGCAGGGGGAGGAGGGGGATGCAGTGTGCCTGGCAGCGGCTGATCGCCCTCCGTTCGACCTCAATCTGGCGGTGCTGCTGGCGGGATTCGCGTTTGAGTCGTACAACACCCCGCAGGTGAGTGCAGCGAGCAGCGAGCAGTGGGCAGTGAGCAGCGAGCAGCGGGAGCAACGAGCAGTGAGCAACGAGCAGTGAGCAGAGCAGTGCTGGCGGGTTTGTGAATCCGGTGAATAGGAATTTCGGAGTCGTCACAGGAGGACATTTGACGCAGGAATCATGCTCTCCCTGTGCCTTGCATTGAATCCGCCTTGCCGTTTGACATATCATCCTCGCTGTGTCGCTCACAGGATCTGCTACTGCTGCTCCTTGGTTTTGGGTTGAGCCATGCAATGCGGTGCAATGCAGCACCTCCCTCCTGCCATAGTTCAAAAAGGAGACGCTGTGGGAGAGAGGAGGACCTGGGGGGCTGCCACAGCGACATTACATTCTACCTAATTTCAAAACTCTCACAACCACCCTGTGAATCCTTAGTAACACCCTGCATTCTCAACAACATTCCCTTGGCCACAGGAGGACAAGGACACTCTGTGGGAGCAGGACGTGGGGGGCTGTCGCACCATCTTCACATCCTACGGCTTTGCCTACGAGCTCTACTCCGGCCAACTCATCGTGACCGTCCAATCCGCCTCTGACGTGCCAGCCGTCGATCTCTGGGTGGGTGAAAGCCTGGGGCCTTACCGTTATCTGCTCTGCACGAGTCAAGTGAAGGGGCTGAACGCCATGCTGCATTGTAATATGCATGCTTGAGTGAAGGCGTGAAGGGGCGTGGGTTTGCCTGCCCTCATTCTCGTTGCTGACTTTTGAGTCGACTCAAAAGTCAGCCCTTATTGTTATCTGCTCTGCACGAGTGAAGTGAAGGGGCTGAACGCCATGGTGCATTGTAATATGCATGCATGAGTGAAGGTGTAAAGGGGCATGGCTGGGTCTGCCTGCACTCATTCTCGTTGCTTCGTACTCTGCCCACTCCGCCCCCTGCCAGGGCACCAGCGACCCCTACATGCAGGCATCAGTGGGCGAGGGGTCTGTGCGCACGCGCACCATCTGGACGTGAGTTCCCTCTTTGATTTGATTCGCTTCTCCTTGTTTCATACTCCCCCTGCCACCCGTCTGTCAGGGCACCAGCGACCCCTACGTGCAGGCATCAGTGGGCGAGGCGTCTGCGCGCACACGCACCATTTGGACGTGAGTCCACGCTCTCTAGATTACACAGCCTCGCTATCTAGACTCACACGCTTTTCACCCGCCTTGAATGTCGCGTCTTGTCATGAGGTAGCTGGGGCGTCTGTGCGCACGCGCACCATCTGGACGTGAGTCCACTTTATGGTTTGAAATTCATTGCTAGCATCGCTATCTAGACTCACACGCTTTTCATGCGCCTTAAAAGCCGTGCGTCTTGTCTTGCAGTAGCCGGGGCGTCTGTGCGCACGCGCACACACACTCACTCACATGCGCAAACTCATCCACTCACACACACACACACACACACACATAAACACACACACACACACACACACCCACATACACACACGCACACACATACACACGCGACAAACATGCAACAAACAAACAGACTTGTGTGCATGTCCTCAGGAGCACGGCGCCAGAGTGGAATGAGGAGATTCGCCTGCTGGTGAAAGCAGATGACACCTCCACCCAGTACCTCAAGGTGCAGATTTCCTCTAGATTCATCTCCTGTCCAGATTCTAGATTCTTCTCTTTGCTCTCCTCTTCCAACATTTCCTTCGTCTCCCCAGGTATGCCACATGTATAATCAGGCTGCTTCCACCAATCGTTTGCTCTCCCTTTCTCCACCAATCACAAGTTCCTTATACAATCCCCCTTCTATTCTCCCAAACCCTCTCTTTTCCACCTCTCCATATGGTTCCTCCTCTGTTCTCACAATTCCACCCTTCTTTCACCACCCCTTCCACCAATCACAGCTGTCCATGTGGGACGATGGAATCGTCATCTCGCCCCGCCGACTCGGAAATGCTTCGATCCGATTGGACGATCTCCTGGACGGTAGCATTCCTGTCACTGCTGTCGTTCTCTGTGTTTTCTTTCAGTGCATCGAAATCACTTGGCGCCGTAACTTTTGAGTCGACTTAGAAGTCACCTTGCCGCCGTAAAAGTTCCCCAATCCCACTAGACCAAACAAGCTTGTTCATTGATGAACATTTGACTCAATGCATTAAGCTTCTGTGTTCTCTTTCATGTGCATGCTCCGAATCCATTCCCATCAGTCGGATTTCAGTCTCTACGTGCCTCATAAATGTCTGTACATCATCCCGTACCCTGTTCCCGCATGTGTGCGTGCGCACATCATGCCGAACCACAAGGATGAGGTTTCCCTAAACGGCCCCTCAAAATCCTTAGGCATCTCATAAACTGTCTCTACGCCATTCCGCAATCCATCGCACGTTTGTCTGTGCGCTTGTGTGTGTGTGTGTGTGTGTGTGTGTGTGTGTGTGTGTGTGTGTGTGTGTGTGTGTGTGTGTGTGTGTGTGTGTGTGTGTGTGTGTGAATGCACGCTCAGGCGAGACTCACGAGCAGGAGGTTGCACTGGAGGGGCCGGGAGGAGGGGCCACGCTCAAGCTAGCAGTGCGCTACCGCAGCTTTGCAGAGCTGGCAGAGGAGGAGAGGAGGAGGTGAGTAGCCAGGGTGTCATATATCAGTGCGACTTTTGAGACTTCTCAAAAGGAGGTGAGTAGCCAGGGTGTCATGTTTATGTGAAATGTTGTTGGATTTAACAAGAAAGCATGGGATGCGGGCCATCTTTGAGTGCAAAACCAGTTCAAGTTCATTCTTGCCATGCTTTCTTGCCATGCTTTCTTGCCATGCTTTCTTGCCATGCTTTCTTGCCATGCTTCTTGCCATGCTTTCTTGCCATGCTTTCTTGCCATGCTTTCTTGCCATGCTTTCTTGCCATGCTTTCTTGCCATGCATTCTTGCCATGCTTTCTTGCCATGCTTTCTTGCCGTGCATTCTTGTTGCCACAGCAACTTTTCAAATTGGGCAGCTCAGCAATGGGCAATGCCCCCCTGTATCAATTTCGATAGTTCTCTGAGATTCTACATTATGTCTTGTGACCCCATCTCCCTCAAGATTTGGCTTCCATGACACCATGCCTGTCGCCTTCCAGCCAGGCAGAAATATCCTAGTGCTAGCTCGGATCAGACCCGCATGTTGCACCGCACCCTTCTTCCTCCCTCCCTACCAGGTGGCGTCTGCCCTCTCTTCCCAGACCATCACCTGGTAGAAGATGATGGAACAACATTTTCTCAGCCCAGGTGATGTAGACCATCCTACAGGCAATACGCCACTGCAGCCTCATCACTGCAGCCTTCTGACAGAGCAATACGCCTCCCTTAGGCAGTTTCTAACCCAGTTTCACATCTCCCCCCTCCCTCCCTCCTCCCCTCTCTTCCTCCCAGGTGGCGCCTGCCCTCTCTGGATGACATATTGTCAGCCCAGCCCAGCTCCGACTTTCGAGGCATCATCACAGCCGCCTTGCAGTAATACCCTAATGCAACTCGGACCCCCATGTTTCACCCCTCTCCCCCTCTCTCCTCCCTCCCTCCCAGGTGGCGCCTACCCTCTCTGGATGACATTTTTTCAGGCCAACTCCCTCTGGTCTCCGGATTTCAAGGCGTCATCACTTCCGCCCTGCAACCTTCCTCTTCCACACCTGCTGCCGACTCCTCCCCCTCTCCCACCGACACATCTCCCCCTCCCCCTCCCTCCCTGCCAGGTGGCGCCTGTCCTCTCTCGATGACATCTTCTCAGGCCAGCTCCCTCTGGTCTCCGGATTTCTAAACGTTATCACTTCCGCCCTGCAACCTTCCTCTTCCACACCTGCTGCCGACTCCTCCCCCTCTCCCACCGACACATCTCCCCCTCCCCCTCCCTCCCTGCCAGGTGGCGCCTGCCCTCTCTCGATGACATCTTCTCAGGCCAGCTCCCTCTGGTCTCCGGATTTCAAGACGTTATCACTTCAGCCCTGCAACCTTCCTCCTCCACACCTGCTGCCGACTCCACCCCTGCTCCCACCGACGGCTCGGCTCCCGCTACCAGCCAACCGTCGCCGGCCATTTCCACGTACGAGTTTGTCCGGTCTGCCATCCAGCAATTCGGAGCCCCATCCGCCTTCCCAACGAGTCTGGATAAGATCCGAGACTCGGTCGTCCCAACCCAATCCGCGCCACAAGCAGCAGCAGCAGCAGAAGCAACAGGGTCTGCTGAAATCACTGCAGAAAATGCTGACACTGGTAGCAGTGAGAACAGTGGCAGGGAGGAGCAGGTGAGGCAGGCAGTGGGGTTGGCGAGGGAGGTGCTACTCAGGGCAGGCTGGATCCCGCCAGGTGGCACCCTGGACCAGCTCAGTCAGGCGGTAATGAGTGGTACTGACAGTGGCACTGGTGCCTCTGGCAGCAGTTCAAGCAGCAGCAGCAACAGCGAATCTGCCCCTGCTGCTGCTTCTGGTGGGTTTGATCTGGGCTCTGCTGCATCAGCTGCAGCAGGAGGGTTGCTGGAGGGGGCAGCAGGCGCAGTGGCGGGAAGGATAGAGCAGCGGCGAGCGGAGCTGAGGAGAAGCCTCACAGACATGGGCATCACCCTGCCCTGGTACGACCAGAAGAACGGGCAAGGGGCAGACGGACAGAGCAGCAGCTCTGATGCAGCGGCAGCAGCAGGCGATTTTCTGGAGGGGGCTACGAGCGCGTTGGTGGGGCGGATAGAGCAGCGGCGAGCCGAGCTGAGGAAGAGCCTTGTGGACCTCGGGATTACCCTGCCTTGGTATGACCAGAGCAGCGGGCAAGGGGTAGATGGGGAAGGGACAGTCAGGCAGGCAAGCCCCGCTACAGATGTGACTGCTTCCCAAGAGCCGTCCTCCTTCTCGTCCTCCCTGGATGATCTTCGCAAGGCGGCTTTCCGGCAGACTGAGGGCGTGCTGGGGTCGCTCGCCCTGCTTGGCAGCACAGCTGGCAGCCTGCCATTGGCCGAGGGGGAGAAGAAGAGCGCAGGAGCAGCTAAGTCCGAAGGGGAAACTGGTGGGGAGGAGAGTGAGGGAGCGAGAGAAGGAGCGAGTGAGGGAGTGAGTGAAGGAGCGAGTGAGGTAGTGAGTGAGGAGGAGACAGAGGAGGCGCTGCGCATGTTTGGGAGTGCAGAGACGGCGGTGGAGGCATGGACCATGCTGGCGAGCTCTCTCGGGCAGCAGACGTTTGTCAAGTCGGAGTTTGATAAGGTCTGCTTCGTGGACCACCCACAGTCGGACACTCAAGTGGCGGTGTGGAGGGATGTGCGGAGGAAGAGGATTGTGGTGGCTTTCAGAGGCACAGAACAGGTGAGATGCGAGGAGAAAAGTTACAGACGTTTGTCAAGCCGGAGGTTCACAAGGTCTGCTTTATCGACCACCCGCAGTCCGACACGCAAGTGGTGGTTTGGTGGGACGTGTGGAGGAAGAGGATCGTGGTGGCTTTCAGAGGAACCGAGCAGGTGAGATGCATTGCACTGGGATGGTGTGTGAGGAATGGCCCATGTTTGGGAGAGAGTGAGGGGGAGTGTGGTGGGGGAGACAGTATGGAGAGCAGAGACAGTAGTGGATGGAGGCGTGGAGGCATGGACCATGCTGGCGAGTTCCCTCGGCCAGCAGACGTTCGTCAAGTCGGAGTTTGATAAAGTGTGCTTCATGGACCACTCGCAGTCCGATGGTCTTCTGGTGGGACGTGCGGAGCAAAAGGATTGTTGTGGCGGTCCGAGGAACCTAGCGGGTGAGGGAGAAGCAAGGAGAGAAGGTGTTTTTTGAGTCGGAGTTTGATGAAGTGTGCTTTATCAACCAACGTGCGGAGCAAAAGGATTGTTGTGGCGTTTCGAGGAACCGAGCGGGTGAGGGAAATGCTTTGGCATCCTCTTGCTCTGCACTAAGCTGGTGGGCTGGTGGGCTGGAGGCGACTTTTGAGTCGACTCAAAAGTCACCTCCGCACTAAGCTGGTGGGCTGGTGGGCTGGAGGCCCATGCGCAGTTGCCAGCGCAGCACGCCTCCAGCCCATGCTGTATGCTGGCAACTGTGCCCTCTTCTTGACTTAAATGCCCATTTACCAATGTCTCCTGTGCCCCTCTCTCCCCTCCCCCTTCTCCTTCTTGCTCGCTCTCTCGCAGACTAAGGCCAAGGACTTACTTACAGACATCTCGCTCTCTCCCTCCAGGTGAGCAGCTGTAGAAAGAGGTTGACTGAGGTATCCCTGTCGTGCGCTGCTGGTGGGGATGGGGTGAAGTTGGCGAGAGGGTAGGGTGAGGCAAGGGTGAGGCTGGCTGGGGTGAGGAATATAGTTGATTTCATTTATCAGCTGCATTTTCTCTCTACATCCTCCTCATTCCCTTGCAGCCTGGACTTTGAGCAAAGTTGTTTGTTGCTTGAGGGTGCATTCCTGAGTTGGTGGCAGGGCAACTGTTGGTGGCAAGCGCATTTTCCGGCCCACTGAATTTTTGGGTACACTTGCCACCAACTCGATGTGAACAGTTGCCCTGCCACCAACCAGGAATGCACCCTTACATAACAATCTCATGTCACCATCCTTACTCCCTGACCCTCCCTGATCCCCTTCTCTGCCCTTACTCACATAGTCCTCCTCCCCTTCCAGCCTGAACTTATATAGGATGATTGAAAGAACAATCTCATTTCTTCCTTCCTCCCTTCTCCTTGCATCCCCTTTTCTCCTTGCTTCACCTTTTCTCCGTTCTTCCCCCGTTCGCCTTGCTTCCCCCTTTCTCCTTCCTGCTTTCTCCTTACTTCCTCCTTTCTCTTCCTTCTTTACCTTTGCTTTCCTCCTCCTCACCTTCCAGCCTGGACTTCGAGCGAACCTCGTCGGGCGATTTTGACCAGGATGTCATGGTGAGAGGGGTGTGACGTCATGGTGAGAGCGGTGTGACGTCATGGTGAGAGCAGTGTGACGTCATGGTGAGAGCGGTGTGACGTCATGGTGAGAGCGGTGTCGTCATGTCATGTTATGAGGCTGACTGATAACGTCATGGTGAGGAGGAGATCAGGCAGTGTGTGCACATCAAGTCGATCCAGTTCCCTCTCTATGCCAATGCGCATGCTACTCCTATGTCTCAGAAAGTCACTCGAATCCTAGACACAGACTGGTTCACTCTGTGTGTATCTTTTCTTTAGGGGCCTTGAAAACTGTCCCCCAAGTCCCAACCCCCAACCCCTATCCCCCCTTCCTCCCCACCACCACCACAACCTCCCATCCCCCCACTGCAGGTGCACGGGGGTTTTCTTGCTGCATACGACTCTGCGCGCGCCTATTCTTTGGGTGCCCCAACAACAGTCCCCCAAGCCCCAAACTCAAACCCTTGAACCCTGAATCCCCACTTCCCACCCCCACCCCCCACCCCCCACTGCAGGTGCATGGGGGTTTCCTTGCTGCATACGACTCTGTGCGCGCTCGCCTGCGCTCCCTCATTGCCATCATCACCGACCCCAACCGCCCTACACCGCTCACCGCTCGTTCTGCTGATGCTGATGCTGGTGCTGATGGGGACTCCTCAATCCATGCAGCTGACAGCCTATCAGAGGGTGACACGTGGCGGGTGTACCTGACCGGTCACAGCCTGGGAGGAGCCCTGTCGACCCTCTTTGCCTACGAGCTCTCCCAGTCCAACATGGTCAGGTGGGTCTGTTGTTTTCACCTGGTCAGGTGGGTTCTGCTGTTTCACCTGATCCAAGAGGAGCACTTCAAGCAGCCGTAAAAGTAGCATATCCAGTCATTTGATGGCAAGTGGGGCAAGTGGGGGGGCAAGTGGGGCAAGCGAGGGGGCAAGCGGGGCAAGTGGGTGACCATATCCATTCTCCTGTGATCTGTTGCTGCATCCTTCCTTCTTCCCATCTTCTCATTGTGCAACTATGGCTCTTTTCTCCAGCCCTACCCTCCCGCCCTACAATCCCTCGTTCCCGCCCCCACCCTCCCTCGCTACCCAACGTTCTTCTTCTCATCCCATCCACGACTCATCTCCCAAATAGCACAACATCCAGCTCACCATGTACAACAATGGTCACTTTTGAGCCGACTCCCTTCCACGCCTCGTATCCCTGCCGCGTGTACTAAGTTGATTTCTGAGTCGACTCAAAAAGCAACATCCAGCTCACCGTGTACAACAATCATCACTCCCTTCCTTACCACTTTCCCTCTTGCCCCACTCTCTCCTAATGCCTCAGTCACTCATGGTTAGGAAATGCTTTAGCAAGTAAAGAAAGAGAGTTAAAAAACCCTTGCTAAGAGAAATCTTGAACGCAAAAGCTGTATTCACTCAAAGAGAACAGGTCGCAAACATGTTTCGGCAAGTCGGGGATAGAACCGTCAAGCCTTCATCAGTGCTTCACTCCCTTCCCTACCACTTTCCCTCTTGCCCCACTCTCTCCTCATGCGTCAGGGACCGCAAAATCCATCTCTCGTCCCTTATCACTCTCTCCTCACGCTCTTCCCTCCACTTTCCCCCCGTCCCGCAGGGAGTGCAACATCCACCTCATTATGTACAACTATGGTCGTTTCCTCCCACTCTGCCCTCCCTCTCGTTTCCCCCCCCAACCCCCCGTCCCTCAGGGATCGCAACATCCATCTCACCATGTACAACTATAGTCGCCTCCTCCCACCCTTCCTTCCCTTTCCCTCTCTTTGCTCGCCTCCCCCCGTCCCTCAGGGAGCGCAACATCCATCTCACCATGTACAACTATTGTCGCCTCCTCCCATTCTCCCTTCCCTCTCCCTCTCTTTGCTCGCCTCCCTCCATCCCTCAGGGAGCGCAACATCCATCTCACCATGTACAACTACGGCTCCCCTCGCGTGGGCAATGCGGCCTTCGTTGCCAGATTCAACGTGGTTAGTGACCAACACGCGCCCTAGCTCTTTTTTTGACACTCATGGGTCACTCGCTCATGGGTTCAATCATCCCTACCTTTATCTTCAAGGCATGTAACTCAGGGTAGTGCAGTGGAGCCGTCGTTGCCAGGTGCAATGCGGTCAGTCACGGCCATAGTCTAAACCCTAAACCCTAAACCCTGCCAGGGGTAGAGAGGGTATTGTTGAGACGTCTCAAAAATACCCTCTCTACACGTTACGGCCAACATCCCTGCCAGGGTCACACCCCACCAAACGCCCTGAATCCATTCAGGTGGCTCTTTTCTTGCCACGTGTTATCCCTCCCTCTCCCCCCACCGCATCACCAAGATCAACACAAACCCCGGTGATGCAGCAGGGACGGGACAGGAAGCTTGAAATGGTGAAGCGTTTACTTTTCCCCCATCCCCTTTCCTTTCACCATATTAGATCATTCCTTTTCCCTTTCTCTCCACACCTCCTTCCCCCCCCTCCTACCCACCCGCCCACCCCTGCTCGCTCCCACCAGTACATGTGTGACAGCTGGCGCATTGTGAATCGAGCTGACATTGTCCCCACAGTGCCCAAGCTAATGGGGTACCGCCATGTGTGCTGCCCTGTCTACCTCAGCCCAGGAGGGCCCTCAGGTGACCTTCAGGTGGGTTATGATCTTCAGGTGGGTTACAATCTTCAGGTGGTTTCTGATCTTTCAGGTGGGTTCTGATGTTCAGGTGGGTTATGATCTTCAGGTGGGTTATGATTTTCAGGTGGGTTATGATCTTCAGGTGGGTTATGATTTTCAGGTGGGTTATGATCTTCAGGTGGGTTATGACCTTCAGGTGGGTGGGTTATGATTTTCGGGTAAGTGTGACCTTCAGGTGGACGCGACATTCAGGTGCTTCTCAGATAATCATGACTTCAGGTGTTTCTGACATGATTATGTCCTATCATGCATGTGTCTCCACCATGCATGTGTCTTCATCATGCATGTGTCTCCGTCATGCATGTGTCTCCGTCACGCATGTGTCTCCGTCATGCCCATCTGCGCATGTGTCCGTGCGTGCGTTCATGTATGAGCGCATGTGTGTATGTGTGTATGTGTGCCTGTGCACATGGCAGTCGGATGCATCACAGGAGCAGCTAGGAGTGGATGATGGGTACGCAGCCGAGGTGGTGGGGGAGGCGAACGCCAACGACATCCTAGAGGACTATGTGAGACATGCATGCCTAGAGATTTTATAAGGGGTGTTTTCTCTATGAGTGTGCATACGCATATGCATGTGGGGTGGATGATGGATATGCAGCCGAGGTGGTGGGGGAGGCCAATGCCAACGACATCCTAGAGGACTATGTGAGACATGCATGCCTAGAGATTTTATAAGGGGTGTTTTCTCTATGAGTGTGCATATGCATATGCATGTGGGGTGGATGATGGATATGCAGCCGAGGTGGTGGAGGAGGCCAATGCCAACGACATCCTAGAGGACTATGTGAGACATGCATGCCTAGAGATTTTATAAGGGGTGTTTTCTCTATGAGTGTGCATACGCATATGCATGTGGGGTGGATGATGGATATGCAGCCGAGGTGGTGGGGGAGGCCAATGCCAACGACATTCTAGAAGACTATGTGAGACATGCAGCTAGACAATCAGATGTCTCCATTGTATGTGTGGACGTACACGTGCATGTGCATGCGCATGTGGAGTGGATGATGGGTATGCTGCCAAGGTGGTGGGGGAGGCGAATGCCAACGACATTTTAGAGGATTATGTGAGCCATGCACTCATGCATACATGCACGTACCTATACAAGACACTCCATGTTAGACAGGCAGCTAGAGAGTCTGTTAGGGGGTTGTTTGCAGCATGTCTGGGATGTGCATTTCTTGGATGATTTTATTTTTTAGAATTCTTTTTTTGCATTTCACCATGTGTGCGATGTGCATTCTGGTTTTTGCGCACCTCAAGTATAGGATGTTAAAAGAACACGTAACAGGCGCGTTCAGGAGGCTGGACACGAAGAGGATGCGGATTGACTAGTACAACTATAGGCTGTGTCTGACTTGCGATGGAGATCTGTTTTTGAGTCGACGCAGTTTTTTAAGTTGACTCAAAAACAGACTCGTCACACACGGAATTTGAGTGGACTCGAAAAAAGGATGTGGTGTGGATTGACTAGTACAACCATAGGCTGTGTCTGACTCGCGATGGAAAACTGTGAATCTCCCCTCACCCTCTACCCTTTGAGATGAAGGGCGAGAGGCGGCTGATCGACCAGCTGTTGCAGACGGAAGTGGCGATGCTGTCAGCGCTGAGGGATGGATCTGGTCTGAACCCATCATGGCGGCTCCCGCACGCCTGTTGTGCCTCCCTCTTCCCCCTTTCCCCCCTTAAATCCAGATGAAGGGCGAGCGGCGGCTGATCGACCGGCTGTTACAGACGGAAGTGGCGATGCTGTCGGCCCTGAGGGATGGATCCGCCATCATGATGCACATGGAGGACTTTTATTACATCGCTCTGCTCAAGGTGTGTGGGGACATGTGGGTGTGTGGGATGCATGGTAGGACATGGTACGTGACTCACTCCACATCGATCTGCCATCTTGATGCACATGGAGGGCTTTTATTACATTGCTCTGCTCAAGGTGGGGTGTGGGACATGTGGTTGTATGTGATACATGATGCACGGCACCTGATGCACATGGGTCAGCCATCATGATGCACATGGAAGACTTCTGCTACATTGCCCTGCTGAAAATGGGATGTGGGATGCATGGTAGCACATGGTACGTTAGCACATGGTACATTAGTGCATGGTACGTTAGTGCATGGTACGTTAGTGCATGGTACGTTAGTGCATGGTACGTTAGTGCATGGTACGTTAGTGCATGGTACGTTAGCACATGGTACGTTAGTGCATGGTACATGACTCACATCACATGGATCCGCCATCATGATGCACGTGGGAACTGCTATTAGGTTGCGCTGCTCATGGGTAAATTGCACAATGCACACACATGGCACAACCTTCTCCCATCTCCCCACCCCTTCTCGCACCACTCTCTCACTCTCTCTTTCCCCCTCTCCCCTACGCCCCCCAACACTCCTTTCTCTCAACACTCACAACAGAAAGTGCGAGAGAGCCTGGGTGTTTCTCAGTGAACAACTCGCCCGCTGCCGCTACGCTGTTATGCTGACGTTCTTGAGTAGTTGGGGAATTTTCTCAATCCCTTGCGCTTCGGCCGTAGGAGCCATAGACGTGCTGTCACTGTTGAGTTTTCGAGTTTGCCAGTTTCAGAATTCCAGTGGGTGGGTCGCTAATATTGTTAAGATGCTTCGTGAAAGGCGATAATGTCAAAGCAAACACTTCACTTCAAGGGGAATGTGTCATGTGAACCTGTTGCCGATGCCATATTTGACAATGATCATACTCAATTTGAAGCATTAATCACATATTGACCATATGACGCCTTCAACTTGAGGGATGTTGCAGCACGTTTAGTTTCAGTGCGTCTCAATCACCCTTCTGCGCTTGGGAATTCATATTGCCCTAACAGAAAGTTCTGTTATGGCATGGCTCGCTTCTTTACAATGAAGTCGGAGTCCGAATTTGAGTTTTTTACAAATGGGCACAGAGCAAAGGGTTCCACAATACAATTGGTACGAGGCGAGGTGAACGAACGGTTTCGATGATCGCATGATTTTCGCAAAATCGCTGTCACGCACACTTCAAGACCCCCCACACCACCACCCATAGCTTGCTTGTGCTATCTCCTGTCCAGTGTCCATCACGGGATGGCATTTGCGCTGTGCGTAGTCTTCCTTTCTCATTCGATCAAACAATCGGACCATTTCTCAAGCAGACGCAGCAAGACCAGACTCCCTAGACTCTCGTCTCGTCCGAGAAATAGATCTCGGCTCGTCGGTCATCGTGCTTCCTGACAGCAGTAATTGTTCAATTCAGAGTCGTCGCGTTCCGCACTCATCATGTGCGTTTCCACGATGGGACCCTATCCTTTACAGCGTGAGTGTAGCATCACCCGTCCCACACACGCGACGCGCAGGTGCAGCTGTACATTATTTTCCACGCCGAGTCGCCAACGTGTTGTAGCCGCAGTAGCACCCCTTCAGTCCCCCATAGTCCCCGCCGGTCCGCACCGCCAATCTCCCTCCGGAGTCCGCTTCACCATTCTTAGCAGTTCCAGTCTGACTCACCCCTCCCATCCGATCTTCACCTAAGATTCCAGACGATGTAAGGATTTTTTTTAGAATTCTCAAAGGATTCCCGACGCCATCCTATTTAGCCACTCGCGCGATCCTCAAAGACGGATTTGAGCGATCATCATGCGCGGCGAGTCATACTCTGAAACGTCTGAATAATCCAAGCAGTTGTCACGCGCGGTGAATGGCCGGAACCTTGTCGCCAGTCTACTCAACACGCCCAGCCATGGCGTTCCCTACACTCCCGCAGCGTCCTCCGCTCCTCCTGGTCCCACTCGCGCTGCTGCTGCTCTCATCGGCGCACCTCCGCTCCTCCTGGTCCCACTCGCGCTGCTGCTGCTCTCATCGGCGCACCTCCCCCTCCGCGCGCGCGCGCAGCAGTGCTCCGCCACCACGCTTTGCGTCAACAACCTTTGCTGCAGCGCTGCGGGCTATTGCGGCTCCACCCCCGATTACTGCAGCGCTGGCTGCCAATCTGGGCCGTGCGGGGGAAACACTTCCGCCCCCGCTCCCCCTTCCAGCGGCGCCCCTCCCCCGTCATCTGGTTCCGCTCAGTGCGGAGCAGCAAACGGCAACAGCGTCTGTCCGAACAACCTCTGCTGCAGCACTGCGGGCTATTGCGGCTCCACCGTCGATTACTGCGGCGCCGGCTGCCAATCCGGGCTGTGCGGAGGAAACAACTCCGCGGCCTTCCCCCCTTCCGGTGCCCCTCCCCCTTCCGGTGCCCCTTCCGCCAACGGCCAATGCGGAGTAGCAAACGGCAACAGCACCTGCGCCAACAACCTCTGCTGCAGCTCTGCGGGCTATTGTGGCTCGACAATTGACTACTGCGGTTCTGGCTGCCAATCCGGGCCGTGCGGGAAAAACACTTCTGCGGCCGTTCCCCAATGCGGAGCAGCTAACGGCAACCGCGTGTGCCCCAAGGGTTTCTGCTGCAGCAAGTTTGGCTGGTGTGGGTCCACCCCGGATCACTGCGGCGCTGGCTGCCAATCGCAATGCTCCGCGACTCCCCCCAAAAAGGCGGTCCGCAATGCTCCAACTTATGAGGTGTATGCTGCTAGTATCTCGATCGTTACTATTTTAATAGCGGCTTTATCTGCCTTCTGAAGCGCAATAAGTTGTGTGTGTGTGTGGGTGGGTGCGTGCATTTGGTAGTACCGCATGTTTGGTTTGTACACCAGGCAGTATTGAAGTGTTCTGTTCTAGTCTAAGACCAGAGCAGGGCTTCTGACATATGGGGCAGGCAATATGAAAATGGGAGAGCATGTGACAAATGCTGGTCCGTGTACGCCGATGAGTGTATTGATCGAGGCATGGATGGCTCAATCTAGAAACATCGCAATGTGAGTGAAATTTCATTGTGTGCATGATTGGGAGTCCGTATTAACGTTAATGCGCGGTTTTACGCCATTCATAATTCCCAACTCGGAGTTGTAATATTGCGGATGCTCTTGTGATCTTCAATGCGGGAGTTTTCGGAAGTCCTGTCAAAATTCGCAAATACAGTTCGATTCCCCTTCCCAAGGATGCTCGCCTCGCCAGTGCTGACCACGAAAGCAGCTGCTAGAAGGGAAGGAAGGGAACCACTTTTCACATCCATGTCAGCAGCATTTAGCCAGCACCGCACCGCCACGTCGCCCAGTCAACACACTCACGGTGCATCTCTTCTCAGAAGATCCAGAGCACCAGGAACGTCCACGTCCCTCAGAAGAGACTTGCGCTCCAGGTTATGCCACGTCAGCGATTGTCAGACCAATTTCCCAGAAGGTTGCACTAGGTGCAAGCGAGCTGCGATGAAAGCGAACAAGCCGCACCGCACACAGCACCGTCATGGGCCACGAGGGAGTGAGATGAGCAGAGCAACCGACATACCGCGCCTCGCCTGAATTTTACCTCATTCTTGGTGGTACAGTACAAATTCAGTTTCGCCTCACACATTAACTTCACAAGTGCCTGGAATCAATATTGTTCCTAGCATTCCTCCTTCGAACTTCCTCTCACTCCCCGCTCTTTCAGTTCGTCTCAATCCGCCCAACAGCCATGGCCTCCATACTCGCTGCTCGTCAGGTCCTTTCAGGAATTTCCTTCAGCTCTGCCGTCAGAGGCACCGAGATTGCTACCCGCAGCCTCCCCGCTCTTCCCCTACCAGTCGCGCCCCGCGGACTCGGCGTCACCGCGCTCTTCAGGTCGCGCAAAGCCGCCGTACCCGCGAAGAGCGTCCCCGCGACGAAGCTGCGCACAGAGGACGGCATTTTCGGCACGTCGGGCGGGTTTGGATTCACTAAGGCGAACGAGCTGTTCGTGGGGCGCGTGGCCATGCTGGGCTTCGCAGCGTCGCTGCTGGGCGAGGCGATCACGGGCGCGGGCATTCTATCGCAGCTCAACATCGAGACGGGCATCCCCATCACTGAAACCGAGCCGCTGCTACTCTTCTTTATCGCATTCACTGTGCTCGGCGCGATCGGCGGGCTGGGCGACCGCGGGCGATTCGTGGACGACGACGCGCCTGCGGGTCCGCCGGTGAAGCCGGGGAGCTTCAAGGCGGCGCTGGGGTTGAGCGAGGACGGGCCTCTGTTCGGATTCACCAAGGCTAACGAGCTGTTCGTGGGGCGGCTGGCGCAATTAGGGTTTGCGGCGAGCCTGATCGGCGAGGTGATTACGGGCAGGGGCGCGCTGGCGCAGCTGAACATCGAGATCGGCGTGCCCGTGTGGGAGCTCGAGCCGCTGCTGCTCGCTAGCGTCGCCTTCTTCTTCGTCGCCGCCATCAACCCCGGTACAGGGAAATTCATTAACGACGACGAGTGAGATCGTGCTGTGAAATTCAATGTACATATTTTTTGTGTACCTAGCTATACTAATGCAGATAATGAAGAAATTTCTTCCAGACTGTTCTGTTTTCAATGCTGAGCAAACATACCCGCTGAAAACAAAGAACCACGTGTACAGCTATCTACTCGCAATCTCACCATTCACACTCACTCCCATTCACCCTCCCACACCCCATTTTCTTTCACATTATGACCGTTCCTTCTCGTGTCCTCCAAGTTCTCTCACAGTCTTCGTTTGACCATTCCCACTCTCGATTCTAAATGACAATAATCAATCACGGCTTTCACAAGTGACTTATTTCCAGTAACAACTTTCAAACATGAACACTTGGTACAGTCAAGTCGTACTAATGTGTGCAGTGCGATCATCTCCTCCAGCACTATATCTCTGATGTGGAAATTGACTGGCTGAAGTCGAAACACGCTGACAGCCTACAGCCCATGCATGCTCACCAGATGCCCATTACCTCAATCCACATGACCAAATGCATAGACCCTGCCTTGTTTGCAAACACATGACAACCCCAATGTGCTCCTCACACGGCAGCATTGTGGAGTGATCTGGACTTGAAATGTCATGTGATGCATTGCTGCTTGCACAGCATACATAGTATTGTACTGCCTAGGGCTCTTAGTGACTCCTCAGTTTGTGACAACCAGTTTGATAAAGCAATTTGTCAGCGGTAGACAGTTGAGCTGTGAATGGCCTTACTTCCATTCCATCCCATCAACATCAGTACGTACAATACCATGACTGCTGGCTCGTACCAGGACATTTTCTGAGGTGCCTGAAAGTGATACGCCATGAAGTTGTGATCCCTAAAAACTCGCCTTCAGCATGTGATACCGTGCTGCTTGCATGACAGAGATGAGACTAAGGTCCTCTGTCTCACCTGCCTCCTCCCACCTACCAGCACCAGAGTCGGACTGAGCCAGTGCAGAGGGAACGAGCTCAGAGAGGCACTGCTGCAGCTGCTGTGGGTTTACATGTGCAGGGCCAAGGCAAAGCGAGTGCCAATTCCCCCCTTGCCTCTTGTGAATGCATTGCTGACAATGCTGCTGCTGCTGCTGCTGCTGCTGCTGCTGCTGCTGCTGCTGCTGCTGCTGCTGCTGCTGCTGCTGCTGCTGCTGCTGCTGCTGCCGGTGGTGCTGACGCTGCTTGTTTCGCCGGTCTCTGATGGGAGGGGCGGCTCAGTAGCATGGACTTGGGTTGGTTCGACAGCACCGGGAGGAGCGGTGGAGGGAGCAGCAGCAGGAGGGCGAATGAGGTCTTTGTTGGAAACAATAAGTCCTAAGTGCGCTTCTGTCGTATCAAAATCCAAGGTACCAAGCGAAGCAGTCCCAATCGAAGCATCGAGTCAACCTCGGAGGTTAGGGTAACCGCCTGGAGGTTACGAGAAAGTCAAAGGTCGCTGACCTTTGACTCGACAATTACAGCGCGACAGTTAAGGACACACAACTGACTCGTTACAGAGCAGTTGCCCGAGTCGCGCTATATCGAACCGCAACAGCAATACAGTTATCTATCTATTCCCTGTACTCTTATATAAATCCTTGTATTTGCTTGTTTAATTCAATCAACTTTGCTCTCACACACCAGTGCAAGGTCGGTTCAAATTCTTCACTAAACGCTTCCGCTATTACAACTACTTCACCTAGAGTTATCCCTTGCAAAGATCCTAAGGGGCTATCTCAGCCCAACATGGTATGAGAGCTGACAAGGGAAACTCTACTCTTTTTTAATATCATTACAAGACATGGCAACAAACAAGGAAAGGAGCTCCCCTAATGGCTCCTCGGGCACTACTCCTACTCCACCGCCAGCCTCTGGCCTGCAGACAGAAGAAGGCACGGCAACAAGACCAAGAGGAACGTCAACCGAGACCCCCATGAACCACCCTTCGGACTTTGACCAGAACATGATGGAGAAATTTTTCTCCTTCATGTCCTTCTACGAACAACACCAGCAGTCGGGACCTGCACAAACACACAACAGCAACAACGGAGCGACACCCATGAGTCTTGATGGGTCGTCATATGCGCGAGGAAACCAGCAGCAGCAACCTACCTTTGCTCCGTACGAGCGCGGGTCAATCAGCTTCGTGCCCCACCCGCAACCTTCACCTGGACAAGAAAGACCACTGGACGCACTTCAAGTTCAGTCGCAGTTTGCACACGTCTTAAAACTGCAAACGTCAAGACCCTTCGACGGCAAAGACTTCTTTACCTGGTCCTTTGAATTCGAGCTGATGATGGAGGGCGCGCAGATACTCGGCTTCTTCGACGGGTCCCTGCAGTATCCAGCCAACGGGACACAATATGAAAAGCAGCAGTATACGTATCAATCAATGATGGCGTATACAATCCTATTGAGGAACGTGACACCAACTCAGCAGCAGAACATTCGCTCTTACCGGACCTTCGGCAACTCGGCGGAGCTCGCGTACAGCCATCTGAAGAACCTGTATCAAGCAACAGACAGTGTAAACCAGAGCAGGTTAATGGCGCAGTTGACGACAGTCGAAATGAAACCAGGAGAAAAAGGACTGGCGTATATCAGCCGATGTCGCGAACTGCGCGACAAGCTGCTTCGATGCGGAGGGTCAATCTCTGAAGACGCCTTCGTGACAGTCATCATTGGTGGGCTTGGTCCTCAGTGGCGCGCCACCAAAGCCATTCTTCGAGCCCACGGAAGAATCTCTGAAGCTGCACTCTGCGCCAAATACATGCCGAGCAGCAAGATATGGACCTGCAGGAAGAACGACACAGGAAGAAAACGACAGTATCAGAGTTCGCATTCCACACTCAACGACGACACAGCAATTATAACAACCGACAGCAGCAACCGAAGATAGTACCTCCCTTCTGCCACATCTGCAAAACTTCAGGGCACCCGCGCACACACTGCCCGAATCGTCAGCAATCAACGGCACCACAGCGACAACTTCGACCTTCAAGCTCCCAAATGGCTTCAACACAAGCAAGTGCGACGACCACTATTCAAGCTTCAACGACTTCACCCGGACAACCTGCACAAGGAGCAAGAAATATAATCAACTGCATGACGAAGATAACCGATTCATGTACAACCGAATCACCACCACACTACTCACCGGAAGAAGAGCTTGACAACAGAACGCCTCGCCGTGAGCTACTCCAGCCGAATCCAACGTACGCCGCCATCGCTCAAAGTGAACCGTCCGGCCAAGACACCTGGTTCTTGGACAGTTGCTGCGGGCAACACATGTGCTCGTCCGGGCGTTTCGTACAACGCGAACATCGACTCCAACGGGAAGTGATCATCACGGTTGCCAACAACCAAAACCTGCGCACACGAAGACAAGGAGTGGTACAGCTTCAGTCAAGAGAAACAAATGTCATACTGCACATGTCTAAGGTACTCATCGCTGAAGGACTCGGCTACAACTTACTGAGCGTTAGCCAGTTGATGGCGAAAGGAATTCATCTGGAAGCCGACAGCACGACCCAGGAGTTCAAACTTTACCACGGGAGAGGCGGTCTCTACATCGGGAAAGCAGTGCTGAAGAACAACGTCTTCGTCCTCGACTTCGTTCCTGACCTGGGCACTGCAGACAGCGACGCCATCGTGAATTTCACTGACTGGACACACCCTCCGGATCTCGACCCCGACTTCAGCCCAGGAGGCTTCTGGTACTCGCACACCATTCCTGAAGCAGAACGAACACGAGCATTAGCAACAATTCGACAATCGGCAGCAGTAACAACATCGGCAGCAGCAACAACATCGGCAGCAGCAACAACATCAGCAGCAGCAGGAACAACGACACCAGTCACAGTCAACGAAGCACCACCAACACCCGCGAAACAGCTGAATCCGACTCAACGTGAAGTCCACCGAAGCGCAAACCTCGTCGCCAGCTTTTACCCCAACTCCGACGCATATCAGCGTTCACCTGGACACCGCGCCTCTGAAGAGATCTGGCACGCACGAACAGGACATCCAAGCAACACGGTTTTGAATAACACGATAAGAGCAGGAGTCCTTGACAAAGATTCTCTACTTCTACCCGATGGCAGAGAACTCCAGAAGGCACGAGGGACTTGCCTTATATGTCCCGAAGCTGACTTACCTCATCGACCGTTTGCTTCACATCACAACCCGAGCGCTCCAGCGTACGCACCACTCGAAAAAGTCTACAGCGACATCCTCTACAATCGCGAGCCAGGACAAGTCAACTACAACTACACCATCACCTTCATCGACGCCGCCACTCGATACGTCTGGCATCGCAACCTACCCAGCCGCGACATGGCGCTCGCAGCATTCGCCGCCTGGCTACCGATAGCAGAGAGAGAGTCTGGAACACAACTGAAAAATTTCCAGTCAGACGGAGGTGGCGAGTACACCTCTCACCGCTTCAAGCAGTTCTTGGCGGAAAGGGGGATCAAGCAACTCCTCTCCCTTCCCTACGCACATCAGCAGCAAGGTGTTGCAGAACGACTGAACAGGACCCTGCAGAACAGCATGCGCAAACTATTACGTGGCATGCGGCTACCCAACCACCAGTGGCCAGCAGCAATGGACCACGCTGTCATGCTACACAACTTGTTGTCGTCGTCGTCACTCCCGAACAACGCATCACCGCATCTGCTGTGGACAGGGAAGCAGGGCAGCACGAAAATGTTACGAGTCTTCGGGTGCATGGTACAGTACAGACCCCCAGAAGCACGAGCGGGAAGATTTTCGCAACGGGCACAGTGGGGACTACACCTCGGCATCGAGAAAAATTACAACGCATGGAAAATCTTCGACGTCCACACAAAGGAAACAGTAGCAGCACGTGACGTGATCTTCTACGAAAGACTCACCCTTCAGACGTACCTCGCCAACTTGCACGAGAATCGGGACCTCACCAGTGGTTTTCGTGGTGACCGAGCCTTCGCGTCAGCAGCGGACGAAGCAGACTGGGATGAACAGAACGTCGACAACGCCTCAGAAGAAGCCGGACCTCTCCCATACTGCTCCGTCGACGTGCCCATGGATGAGGATAATCCTCGCGACAGTAACAACGCCGAAATCTTCTACCGTTTCGCCGACGATGGTTACGTAACACCTGTGACAGTCAACACCAACGAAGCAGAAAGGGTAGGGCCAAATTTCATGCCCGACCCAGAAACGGGAGACGAAGCAGCTTATCCCGAGGATCCAGAACTCCCTCGATACTCACAGACTGGGCTGCAAATCCTCGGCCTCGTCACCGCAGTCCACGGGAACACACGCAGCTCGCTTCCTAAGGAGCCTGCAACGGTTCAGCAGGCTCTGGGGGGGGAACACAGGGAGAAATGGCGTAAAGCCATGGATAGAGAACTGAAGGCATTAGAGGAACGCAACACTTGGAAGGTTGTTCCCGTAAGCGTGGCACGGAACAAAACCATCCTTACCGGGAAATGGGTCTTCCGCATCAAGACGAAAGCAGACGGCACGATCGAAAAATTCAAAGCACGCTGGGTCGTACGTGGATTCGACCAAGAGCAAGGACGAGACTTCACCGAGACCTTTGCTCCAGTCAGCCGCCACACGTCACTCCGAATTCCCCTCGCCATTGCCGCCATGAAGAAGAAGAAGTTACGGCAGATCGACGTCGCGAATGCCTTCCTCTACGCACCTGTGGATGCAGAAATCTACGTCGAGCTCCCGCACGGTTCCCACGGCGAACCCAACCGAATCTGTCAACTACTTAAGTCGCTCTACGGGATCAAGCAGGCACCGCGACTGTGGCAGCAGTACCTGCACGCCCGTCTCATCCGCATCGGCTTTAGTCAACTACCTCACGACCAAGGCATGTACCGCCTCACTAAGGGAAGCGACTACGTTCTCCTGATCGTCTACGTGGACGATCTCCTCTACATTGGGTCAACCGACGGCATCGCCACGTGGTTCGAAGGAGAGCTCCAGAAAGACCTCACGCTCACGGTCTCCTCCACCGTTACACAGTACCTCGGGCTCAACATCCGCGAAGAAGAAAACGCCATCTATCTAAGCGCCGAGAAATACGCCGACACCATCGCGAAACGCTTCAGCCTCACACCAAGCGCCATCTCCACGCCCTACCGCTACACATCAGGAACCGAGAAGGAACGAACTACTCTACTAAAGCCCGCCGGCATACGCGACTATCAGAAGAAGCTCGGATGCCTGCTATTCGCCGCCGTCACCTGCCGTCCTGACTTATCCTACTCCGCAAGTCAGCTCGCCACCTATCTCAAGAAGCCTGAAGCTGAACACCTGGCGGAACTTGATCGCGCTCTCCACTACTTCGTCAGCACCGCGACGATCGGGCTAACCTACCACAAGAGCGCAGCTACACCGACTAAGCTAATCGGCTACGTCGACGCCGATCACGCCGGCGACACCGACAACAGGCGCTCACGCACCGGCTATGTCTACCGCCTTGAGCCTATCGGTCCTATCTCCTGGCAGTCGAGCAAGCAGGAGTTAATCGCACTATCTTCAGCAGAAGCAGAATATATTGCACTCTGCTCAGCCACCAAGGAGGGACTTTACCTTCGCGAACTACTGGAAGAAGCGAAGCTAGCCGAGTTACCCAGCTTCACCGTGTTCTGCGACAACCAGTCAGCAATTCGCATCGCCAACAAAAACGGCTTCGCAAACAGGACGAAACACATCGCCCTGCGCTATTTCTTCGTGAAGGACGAGATAGAAAAAGGGAAACTCGATCTGTCATACTGTCCAACATCCGAGATGGCAGCCGATTACTTGACCAAGAAACTCGGCAAGCAGAAGTTCGAATACTGCATGATGCTGACTGGACAAGGCCACGTCACCAGCAGTAACACTCCAGAAGCGAAGGGGAGTGTTGGAAACAATAAGTCCTAAGTGCGCTTCTGTCGTATCAAAATCCAAGGTACCAAGCGAAGCAGTCCCAATCGAAGCATCGAGTCAACCTCGGAGGTTAGGGTAACCGCCTGGAGGTTACGAGAAAGTCAAAGGTCGCTGACCTTTGACTCGACAATTACAGCGCGACAGTTAAGGACACACAACTGACTCGTTACAGAGCAGTTGCCCGAGTCGCGCTATATCGAACCGCAACAGCAATACAGTTATCTATCTATTCCCTGTACTCTTATATAAATCCTTGTATTTGCTTGTTTAATTCAATCAACTTTGCTCTCACACACCAGTGCAAGGTCGGTTCAAATTCTTCACTAAACGCTTCCGCTATTACAACTACTTCACCTAGAGTTATCCCTTGCAAAGATCCTAAGGGGCTATCTCAGCCCAACAGTCTTGAGAAAGAGAGGTGGCAAGAAGCTGTACATTGCCGGGGAAGGGCTGTTGAGGTTGGGGGTTGACAAGGGCAGGGGACAGAAGGCATGGGGCAGGAGAGTGAATGAGGAATGGAGAAATAAAGGTGGCAAGTATATGTACATTTCTGGAGGCTGTTGGAAAGTGGGAGGGAGGGATGAGAGAAGGGATAGGCTTTTCATGCAGCGAGAGTGAGGAGGTTGATGGGATAAGTGGAGTGGGCATGATACTTGCGAAGGGCAGGACATGTGCAAGACAGTAGTCCTGCTGGTTGAAACGAAGTGAAAGGGAAATATAAGGGAATGGAAACTGGACAATGACTTACGAAGGAGGAGTGGAGGACTTGACGCAAAGGGTTGTCAAATCAGAATTTCAAAGTGTGACACTGGTGAGTTGTGTTGTGTCACTTTTCCGCATAGCTACGATATATATATTTGTTAGTCATTTCGAGTTCACAACTCCGAATTCGAGTTTTTGCAAACGGGGACAAAACAAGGTCCTGCAACATCCGCTGAACTAGTAGAGGCGAGGTGAATGAACCGGTTTGCTTTCCACAGAATCATTTTCAACCGATACTCCAGTCCCATGCCTATCACGAGTCCCCATTAGTCTTTGCAATCGGCCCATTTGTCAACTAGACACATACATACGTACGTACGTATTTGCCATATGTACGTCGGCGTGCTTCCTTGCTTCCTTCCGTTCTTGTTTTGTTCTTAGTCATGGCGTTCCGCGCGCATCATGTTATGTGCGTTTTTACGATGGAACCTTATCCTCTGCGGCACGTGTGCAATATCACCCTTCCCACGCACGCGAAGCGCAGGCGTCGGTCCCCAGACTGCATTAGTTTCCATACCGAGTCGCCAACCGCAGTAGGCACCCCTTTCAGTCCCCAATACTCCCCGCCCAGTCCCCCTTTCGAACAGTCCCGCTTCACTCATCTCACGCATTCTTCACTAGAAGTTCTTAGCTGTCTCTCTACGCTAGCTCACCCTACCCTCACCATAAATGAAGATTGGCGATCTTCACCATGAAGAATTCCCGGGACGTTATTCTATGTAGCCACTTTTTGAGAATTCTGGAAAAACAGATTTGACGCCATCCTATTTAGCCACTCGCGCGATTCTCAGAGACGAATTTGAGCAACCGTCACGCGCGGCGAGTCACTTCCCTTGGCCAGAACCTTGCGAGTCCAGTCAACTCGCCCGGCCATGGCGATCGCTCTCCTGCCGCGTCCTCCTCTCCTCCTCCTCCCGCTCGCGCTGCTGCTGTTCTCATCGGCGCACCTCCCCCTCCGCGCGCGCGCGCAGCAGCAGTGTTCCGCCACCACGCTTTGCCCCAACGGCCTCTGCTGCAGCGCCGACGGCTGGTGCGGCTCCACCCCCGATTACTGCGGCGCTGGCTGCCAATCCTGGCCGTGCGGGGGAAACAGTTCCGCCCCCGCTCCCCCTTCCGGTGCCCCTCCCCCTTCCGATGCCCCTCCCCTATCCGCCAACGGGCAGTGCGGAGCACTTTTCGGCAACAGCGTCTGTCCTAACAACGAATGCTGCACCGTTGGGGGCTTTTGCGGCTCCACCCCCCATCACTGCGCCTTTGGATGCCAATCCGGGCCGTGCGAGAGATACATGCCGAGCCCATACATGCCTAGCCCATATATGCCTCTTCCCCCTTCCGGTTCCGGCCCCCAGTGCGGAGCAGCGAACGGCAACCGCGTCTGCCCCAACGGCCTCTGCTGCAGCGCTGAGGGCCGGTGTGGCTCCACCCCGGATCACTGCGATGCTGGCTGCCAATCCCAATGCTCCGCTACTCCCTCCAAAAAGGCGGTCCGCAATGCTGCAACGTACTACTACCAGGTGTATGCTGCTAGTATCTCGATCGGTTTAGTTTTACCGTAGTAGCGGTTTTTTCTGCCTTCTGAAGTGCAAAAAGCTAATTGTGGATTTTGGTCTGTTCTGTACACCAGGCAGTATCGAAGTGTTTTGGACTTCTGAGAATAAGATGGATGCTCATGTCTTCAAAAGTGTCTTAAAGGTATCATGTACCATCTACCTGTAATGTGATGCTGTGCTGCTTGCACAGCACGCACCATGGTGTATTTGTCGTAGAAAAGATAGTGTATTTGCATAGAGCTACCGTATTCAAGGCTCGTCAGTCGAGAGGCATCTTGTTTAGTGGATGGAGCAGCTTGTCGGGGGTGTAGACAGGCAGGATGCGGTGCAGAGGCCTTACTGCCATCAACTTTTGGGGCACCTCAAAAGTAGACAGGCAGGATGCGTAGCGGAGGCCTTACTTCCATCATCGTCAGTACGTAGATACCATGAAAGCGGGCTATCAAGACATTTTCTGTCTTGATAGACATCTTGATTGTGGAGCAGCTTGTCAGCGGTGTAGACAGGCAGGATGAGGAGGTAAGGTACTAGGTACTTAGTCGATTTTTGAGTCGACTCAAAAATCGGCAGGATGAGGAGGTTAGGTAATAGGTACGTGCTACTTACTTCCATCAACGTCAGTAAGTACCATACCGTACCATGACAGCGGGCTATCAAGACATTTTCTGAGGTGCCTGAAAGTGGTACCGTACCGTACATGCCATGATCCCTAAATTCTCGAGTATAGCATGTGGTACCTTGCTGCTTGCATCACAGAGTTCAGACTTGGGTCCTCTGCCTCTCCTATCCTATCCCCTCCCACCACCCAGCACCACTACCAGCAGCAGAAGCAGCAGCAGCAGCAGCAGCAGCTGGCGTTGTTTCCACATTAGTGTGGTCAATAGACTGAGCAGGTTGGGAGGGAAGGACCTCAGAGAGGCACTGCAGCAGCAGCTGTGGGGTTAACTGACCCATGTGCAGGGCGAAAGCAAAGTGAGTGCCAATTTCCCCCTTGCCTATTTTTGAGGCGCCTCAAAAGTTGACCCATGTGCAGGGCGAAGGCAAAGGGAGTGCCAATTTCCCCCTTGCCTATAGCATGTGGTACCGTGCTGCTTGAATCACAGAGATCAGACTTAGATCCTCTGCCTCTCCTGCCCCCCCCCACCTGCTAGCACCAGAGCCGGACTGAGCCAGTGCAGAGGGAATGAGCTGAGAGAGGCACTGCTGCAGCTGCTGTGGGTTCAAGCGGCCCACGTGCAAGGTGAAGGCAAAGTGACTGCCGATTTCGCCCTTGCCTTTCGAGAATGCATAGCTGCTAACGGTGCTGCTGCTGCTGACGCTGCTCGTTTGACCTGGCTCTGACAAGTTTGACGACTCAGAAGCAGGGACATTAGTTGGCTTGACGTCAGGAGGAGGAGGAGGAGCGGAGGGAGCAGCAGGAGGGCGAATGAGGTCTGGAGAAAGCGAGGTGGCGAGTAGCTGTACGTTGCTGGGAAAGGGCTGTTGGGAAGTGAGGGGTGACAGGGGGACAGGGCAGGGTACAGGGGGCAGGGGGAAGGGGGCAGGGGGAAGGGGGCAGGGGGAAGAGGAGGGAGGAGAGCGAATGTGGTATGGAGAAAAATAGGTGGCAAGTAAGGGCCGTACATTGTTGGGGAAGGGCCGTTTGGAGGTGGGTTGACGGGAAGGGATGGGAGAAGGCACGGGGCTTGTAATGGCGGTACACTTGAAAGAGAAAGAGAAAGGCTTTGAGGCACCTTGAACATTGGCTTTTGCGGCGACGAAAGAGAAAGGGATTTGAAGAATAACTCTCAGAAGCTGCAGGTTGCTTGGTAGAGGGTTTTCAGGGGACCCAATGGAACAATGACGAATTAGTCTGGCACAAATAAAAGCTGGTATAAGTAGGAAATGCAGAGACGAAGTGAACAGGAACTGTAAGGAATGAAAACTGGATACTTACTTAAGAAGGAAGAGAGGAGGCCTTGGCACAGAGAAATTAGGTTCTACATGTTAGAATTAGGCTGTCAACACTTTGTGTACTATATTCTATATCGCGTAGGTTATTTGCGGGTTGGGTGTAGTTTGTGATCCCAACCCTATCTGGTTGGGATTCCCTCGTAATCCTGCAAATCTGCCAACTCACCAATTGGAGATTTGCTAGGATTCCCATCCCATCCTTTCCCTAGCCTTGCCCAGCCCAACCTCGTTTGTACTTAAGGCCTAGTGCCTTCTTTCCTAATCAATCAGTTGAGCTCCATTATTATCACTACATACCTCTCCTGCCTGAGGCATGGCAGACATACGACCTCAGGCATGGCAATTTTTGCCTTTGAGTCGACTCAGAAGCAAATTAGGTTCTACATACCTCTCCTGCCTGCAGGCACGGCAATTTTTGAAGCGCCTCAGAAGTACTCTCATGCCTGGAGGCAGGGCAATTTTTCGGGCGTCCCATTTTGGGGCGCCTCAATAATAGAGGCCTCAGAAACCAGACTTACAAAGGAAGAGTGGAGGACTTGGCGCAGAGCAATGAGCGCCTCCTCTCCTGCCTGCAGGGAGAAGGAGAAGAAGAAAGAGCGATAAAGAGGCGAGCAAGGGAGAGGGAGTGGAATGGAGTGAGAGGGGCGCAGGCAGAGGCATGTATGATGCCGGGATACATAGTCAGACACCACCGCTCGATACAATTTTGAGAATTCAGAGAATTCAGATAATTCAGAGTTCTGCATGAGCAGAGGCATGCATGATGCTGGGATACATAGTCGGACACCACCGCTCGATACAATTTTGGGAATCCAGAGTTCTGCATGAGCAGAGGCATGCATGATGCCTCTGAAGCCAGACTGACGAAGGGAAGAGCGGGATACATAGTCGGACACCACTGCTCGATACAGTTTTGAAACTGGAACCAAGAAGAGCTTGCAATAGCACTCACCCGGAGGTTCAGGTTGTCAATGACAAGGCAGACGCGCAGGGAGGGCATCTTGGCAGCCGCCTGCAGCACCCCTGCTATGCCCTTCACTGCACTCCAACCAACCACTATCTCTCCAATGGAACTGAAGAGAACAGTACTCACCCGCAAGTTCAGGTTGTCGATCAGGAGGCAGAAACGCAGGGAGGGCATCTTTGCAGCCGCCTGCAGCACCCCCGCTATGCCCTTCACTTCCCCCTTCTGCAGCAGCACCACCCTCAGCTCCCGCCTCCCCCTGCTGCTGCCTTCCCCTGACTCGCCCGCGAGAGGGGACGTTAAGGGAGAGTCGGAGGAGGGAATGGAGAGGAGGGCGGAGGAGGGGAGGGCCATGGGGAGGAGGACGGAGCGCAGGAGGGTTGACTTGCCCGTGCCAGGTGGCCCGTGCTGATTGGACGGGAGATGGGTTGATGGGAAGAGGGGAGGGATGGGGAAGAAAAAGGGGGGAGGAAGGTTTGTAGATGGAGAAGTGTGGCAACGGCAGTCGGCAGTGGGATGACTTGAATGGTAAGAGGCTTGGGTGGGAGGGAGGGAGGGAGGGAGGGAGGGAGGGAGGGAGGGAGGGAAGGATGGACGCACCAGCAGCACATGGGGGGAGGGTCGGCTGTCCACGTGTGTGTGCACCAATCCTCTCAGAGCCTCTCGGTGGTGGTTGTAGATAGAGAAGAGCGGTGAGGGCGGTGGGGTGACTAGGTCCGGTGCTGCTGCCACGAAGCGACCTCCCTTCCACTCCAGCACTGCGAGTTGAAGGGGAGAAAGTGAAGGGGGAAAAGTGACGGGGAAAGTGAAGAGGGAAAGGGGAAAGGGGAGGGGGACAGAAGAGGGAACTTCTGAGGCACCTCAAAGGTTCGGTGCTGCTGCCACGAAGCGACCTCCCTTCCACTCCAGCACTGCCAGTTGAAGGGGGGAAATCGAAGGGGGAAGGGAGGAAGGGGACCGGGAATGGCACTTCTGAGGCGCCTCAAATGCCCGGTGCTGCTGCCACGAAGCAACCCTCAAATGTCCGGTGCTGCTGCCACGAAGCAACCCTCAAATGTCCGGTGCTGCTGCCACGAAGCAACCCTCAAATGTCCGGTGCTGCTGCCACGAAGCAACCCTCAAATGTCCGGTGCTGCTGCCACGAAGCAACCCTCAAATGTCCGGTGCTGCTGCCACGAAGCAACCCTCAAATGTCCGGTGCTGCTGCCACGAAGCAACCCTCAAATGTCCGGTGCTGCTGCCACGAAGCAACCCTCAAATGTCCGGTGCTGCTGCCACGAAGCAACCCTCAAATGTCCGGTGCTGCTGCCACGAAGCAACCCTCAAATGTCCGGTGCTGCTGCCACGAAGCAACCCTCAAATGTCCGGTGCTGCTGCCACGAAGCAACCCTCAAATGTCCGGTGCTGCTGCCACGAAGCAACCCTCAAATGTCCGGTGCTGCTGCCACGAAGCAACCCTCAAATGTCCGGTGCTGCTGCCACGAAGCAACCCTCAAATGTCCGGTGCTGCTGCCACGAAGCAACCCTCAAATGTCCGGTGCTGCTGCCACGAAGCAACCCTCAAATGTCCGGTGCTGCTGCCACGAAGCAACCCTCAAATGTCCGGTGCTGCTGCCACGAAGCAACCCTCAAATGTCCGGTGCTGCTGCCACGAAGCAACCCTCAAATGTCCGGTGCTGCTGCCACGAAGCAACCCTCAAATGTCCGGTGCTGCTGCCACGAAGCAACCCTCAAATGTCCGGTGCTGCTGCCACGAAGCAACCCTCAAATGTCCGGTGCTGCTGCCACGAAGCAACCCTCAAATGTCCGGTGCTGCTGCCACGAAGCAACCCTCAAATGTCCGGTGCTGCTGCCACGAAGCAACCCTCAAATGTCCGGTGCTGCTGCCACGAAGCAACCCTCAAATGTCCGGTGCTGCTGCCACGAAGCAACCCTCAAATGTCCGGTGCTGCTGCCACGAAGCAACCCTCAAATGTCCGGTGCTGCTGCCACGAAGCAACCCTCAAATGTCCGGTGCTGCTGCCACGAAGCAACCCTCAAATGTCCGGTGCTGCTGCCACGAAGCAACCCTCAAATGTCCGGTGCTGCTGCCACGAAGCAACCCTCAAATGTCCGGTGCTGCTGCCACGAAGCAACCCTCAAATGTCCGGTGCTGCTGCCACGAAGCAACCCTCAAATGTCCGGTGCTGCTGCCACGAAGCAACCCTCAAATGTCCGGTGCTGCTGCCACGAAGCAACCCTCAAATGTCCGGTGCTGCTGCCACGAAGCAACCCTCAAATGTCCGGTGCTGCTGCCACGAAGCAACCCTCAAATGTCCGGTGCTGCTGCCACGAAGCAACCCTCAAATGTCCGGTGCTGCTGCCACGAAGCAACCCTCAAATGTCCGGTGCTGCTGCCACGAAGCAACCCTCAAATGTCCGGTGCTGCTGCCACGAAGCAACCCTCAAATGTCCGGTGCTGCTGCCACGAAGCAACCCTCAAATGTCCGGTGCTGCTGCCACGAAGCAACCCTCAAATGTCCGGTGCTGCTGCCACGAAGCAACCCTCAAATGTCCGGTGCTGCTGCCACGAAGCAACCCTCAAATGTCCGGTGCTGCTGCCACGAAGCAACCCTCAAATGTCCGGTGCTGCTGCCACGAAGCAACCCTCAAATGTCCGGTGCTGCTGCCACGAAGCAACCCTCAAATGTCCGGTGCTGCTGCCACGAAGCAACCCTCAAATGTCCGGTGCTGCTGCCACGAAGCAACCCTCAAATGTCCGGTGCTGCTGCCACGAAGCAACCCTCAAATGTCCGGTGCTGCTGCCACGAAGCAACCCTCAAATGTCCGGTGCTGCTGCCACGAAGCAACCCTCAAATGTCCGGTGCTGCTGCCACGAAGCAACCCTCAAATGTCCGGTGCTGCTGCCACGAAGCAACCCTCAAATGTCCGGTGCTGCTGCCACGAAGCAACCCTCAAATGTCCGGTGCTGCTGCCACGAAGCAACCCTCAAATGTCCGGTGCTGCTGCCACGAAGCAACCCTCAAATGTCCGGTGCTGCTGCCACGAAGCAACCCTCAAATGTCCGGTGCTGCTGCCACGAAGCAACCCTCAAATGTCCGGTGCTGCTGCCACGAAGCAACCCTCAAATGTCCGGTGCTGCTGCCACGAAGCAACCCTCAAATGTCCGGTGCTGCTGCCACGAAGCAACCCTCAAATGTCCGGTGCTGCTGCCACGAAGCAACCCTCAAATGTCCGGTGCTGCTGCCACGAAGCAACCCTCAAATGTCCGGTGCTGCTGCCACGAAGCAACCCTCAAATGTCCGGTGCTGCTGCCACGAAGCAACCCTCAAATGTCCGGTGCTGCTGCCACGAAGCAACCCTCAAATGTCCGGTGCTGCTGCCACGAAGCAACCCTCAAATGTCCGGTGCTGCTGCCACGAAGCAACCCTCAAATGTCCGGTGCTGCTGCCACGAAGCAACCCTCAAATGTCCGGTGCTGCTGCCACGAAGCAACCCTCAAATGTCCGGTGCTGCTGCCACGAAGCAACCCTCAAATGTCCGGTGCTGCTGCCACGAAGCAACCCTCAAATGTCCGGTGCTGCTGCCACGAAGCAACCCTCAAATGTCCGGTGCTGCTGCCACGAAGCAACCCTCAAATGTCCGGTGCTGCTGCCACGAAGCAACCCTCAAATGTCCGGTGCTGCTGCCACGAAGCAACCCTCAAATGTCCGGTGCTGCTGCCACGAAGCAACCCTCAAATGTCCGGTGCTGCTGCCACGAAGCAACCCTCAAATGTCCGGTGCTGCTGCCACGAAGCAACCCTCAAATGTCCGGTGCTGCTGCCACGAAGCAACCCTCAAATGTCCGGTGCTGCTGCCACGAAGCAACCCTCAAATGTCCGGTGCTGCTGCCACGAAGCAACCCTCAAATGTCCGGTGCTGCTGCCACGAAGCAACCCTCAAATGTCCGGTGCTGCTGCCACGAAGCAACCCTCAAATGTCCGGTGCTGCTGCCACGAAGCAACCCTCCTTGCACTCTGGCACTGCTGATGGGAACCTGGGAAAGGGGAAACAGGAGACTTGGGGAAGGGGGAAGCAGGAAAAGAGGGTAAGGGGAAAGAGGCTATACTAACACCAGTATTTCAAATCACTTCAGTCAAACTCCTTTTGCTGAAGGAACGAGGGGAGGGGGAACAGGAGAAGACGGAAGGGGAAAAAGGGTGCACTACTGCAATTACCCTCGATTTTTTTCACTTGACCACCTTCCACTCTAACCGAGTACGAATGTGTCACAAACAAATAAACTCAAACTCAAATTAGAGCAAAAAGAAACAAAGGCAGGCGAATGACACACATGGAGCACATCAGATTTCTACAGCCCCCACCCTACCTGAGCTGACTGCTGCCTCCCCATAGCCGTTGGCAGCATGGAAGGCGAGGATGAGCGGCAGGAGAATGAGAGGCAGCGAGGCTTATCAATTCCCACTGACCCTACCTGAGCTGACCGCTGCCTCCCCATAGCCGTTGGCAGCATGGAAGGCGTGGATGAGCGGCAGGGCATCCGCCCAGTCCCACATGCCGCTGATGCGCGGCGGTAAGAGGTCTGCAATGGGGGGGAGGGAAAGCGGAGGGGAGGGCAAGCATGGAAGGCATGGAAGGCGTGGATGAGAGGCAGAGCATCGGCCCAATCCCACATGCCACTTATGCGCGGCAGTACGAGGTCTGTCAGAAGGACAGTGCGGGGGGGGGGGGGCAGTGAAGGGCGCGGGGAGACAAGAGGAGAGGGGAAGCATGGAAGGCGTGGATGAGAGGCAGCGCATCGGCCCAATCCCACATGCCACTTATGCGCGGCAGTACGAGGTCTGTCAGAAGGACAGTGCGGGGGGGGGGGGGGGGGGGGGCAGTGAAGGGCGCGGGGAGACAAGAGGAGAGGGGAAGCATGGAAGGCGTGGATGAGAGGCAGCGCATCGGTCCATTCCCACAAGCCACTGATGCGCGGCGGCAAGAGATCTGCGACAGAGACAGTGCAGGGCAGAGCGGGGAGGAGAGGGAGCGGGGAGACAAGAGGATAGGAGAGGGGCAGCAAAGAGCAAGGAAGCATGGAAGGTGCGGATGAAAGGCAGGGCATCCGCCCAGTCCCACATGCTGCTGATCCGCCCAGGGCTGATGCCCACATGGAAGGCAGGGGAAGGGAGGGGAAGGGAGGGGAAGGGAGGGGAAGGGAGGGGAAGGGAGGGGAAGGGAGGGGAAGGGAGGGGAAGGGAGGGGAAGGGAGGGGAAGGGAGGGGGAGGCAGAGGGAAAGCATGGAAGCAAGGAAGGCCTTGATGAGATGAGATGAAGGGAATGGGCCCAATCATGGTTCTAGTTAGAAAGCCAGGCAAAATAGGCCCAGATTGCTTGTTCGTCGAATTAGAGATTGTTCCTTAACCTGCGGTGCACCTTCACTGGAGGAAGAGGAGGATGCAGCGGACGCAGCAGGGGCAGCAGGGGTCAATGCCTCCTTGCTTGCTGCAGTCAGGTCAAAGCCCATCACCCTGGCCTCGCCAGCTCCGTTCCTGTCCCGGCTCCCCTTAGCCACCCCATTCGCAGCGCCGGCAGCAGCCTCACGCCACTCGGCCGGCATGTCCGGTACAATGTCCGCCACCTGGACACATGGAGAGCAAAGCATTGAAGGCAAAATCGATTCTTTATGCGAAAGCGAGTTGTGATTCGACTCGAAAGTAGCGCCCGCGGCAGCCTCACTCCACTCGGCCGGCATGTCCGGTACAATGTCCGCCACCTGGACACATGGAGAGCAAAGCAGTGAAGGCAAAATCGATTCTTTATGCGAAAGTGAGTTGTGATCCGACTCAAAAGTAGCGCCCACGGCAGCCTCACTCCACTCGGCCGGCATGTCCGGTACAATGTCCGCCACCTGGACACATGGAGAGCAAAGCAGTGAAGGCAAAATCGATTCTTTATGCGAAAGCAAGTTGTGATTCAACTCGAAAGTAGCGCCCGCGGCAGCCTCACTCCACTCGGCCGGCATGTCCGGTACAATGTCCGCCACCTGGACACATGGAGAGCAAAGCAGTGAAGGCAAAATCGATTCTTTATGCGAAAGCGAGTTGTGATCCGACTCGAAAGTAGCGCCCGCGGCAGCCTCACTCCACTCGGCCGGCATGTCCGGTACAATGTCCGCCACCTGGACGTGCTTTTAAGGCGCCTAAAAAAAGCAGCCTCACGCCACTCGGCCGGCATGTCCGTCCGGAACAATGTGTGCCACCTGGTACAGTGCAATGCGTAAAGAAAGACATCCAGTGAGGCAGGCATCCAATGAGGCAGGCATCCAAGGGGGCGGAATAGACATTGAGTTGAATTTTGAGGCGCCTCAAAAATAGACTTTAGATGTGAAAGCGCGTTGTGATTTGACTTAAAAGCCCCACGCCACCCCCACCTCACGCCACTCGGGCGGCATGTCTGGTACAATGTCCGCCACCTGTGGAGAGTAGAGCATTGAATTCAAGAACATGGGGGCAAAATTGGTATTTGAGGCGATAGAGGGTTTCAGTTGACGTACGACCGTCGTTGTTTCTCTGACATTCAAGAGCTCAGGTCCTCTGCTGGGTGAATGTGAGTGTGAATGTGAGTGTGAATGTGAGTGTGAATGTGAGGGTGAATGTGAGTGTGAATGTGAGGGTGAATGTGAGTGTGAATGTGAGTGTGAATGTGAGGGTGAATGTGAGAGTGAATGTGAGGGTGAATGTGAGTGTGAATGTGAGTGTGAATGTGAGTGTGAATGTGAGTGTGAATGTGAGTGTGAATGTGAGTGTGAATGTGAGTGTGAATGTGAGTGTGAATGTGAGTGTGAATGTGAGTGTGAATGTGAGTGTGAATGTGAGGGTGAATGTGAGTGTGAATGTGAGGGTGAATGTGAGTGTGAATGTGAGTGTGAATGTGAGGGTGAATGTGAGTGTGAATGCGAGTGTGAATGTGAGTGTGAGTGCAGTCACTACAGATGACTATTTTCATCTATCGACTTGCCGCCCTTGCCTCTTGGCTAGCAAACAGATAGGGAAAGAAGCACTACAACAACGCACCCGTTTCCACCCACGATGTTGCAGAGTATTTTTGAGAATTTTTGAGAATTTTTGAGACTTTTTGAGAATTTTTTAGAATTCTCAAAAATACTCTGAAACGGATAGGGAAAGAAGCACTACAACAATGCACCCGTTTCCACCCACCCATCCCACGTACCCAGGAAGCAAGGGTGGTTTCGTTGACGCACAGCTGCTGCAAGGAGCTCAAGTCCACAGCTGCCGCCGCCCTCAGCTTGCTCGGTTTGCCGCCCAGACTGAGTAGCTTCTACACCACACTTGTTTGATCAAAAGAGCACGTGCTCATACAACCCACCCCACTCACCCAGGAACCAAGGGGGGTTAGTTTTGAGTCGACTCAAAACTACATTCTTAGCTTGCTCTGTTTGCCGCCCAGACTGAGCAGCTTCTACACCACACTTGATTGATAAATAAAAAACGCACGTGCCCATACAACCCACCCCACGTACCCAGGAAGCAAGAGTTGTTTCGTTGACGCACAGCCGCTGCAGCGAGCTCAGGTCCACAGCTGCTGCCGCCCGCAACTTGCCCTGTTTGCCGCCCAGAATAGTCGGATCACCGGCAGAGACTGCTGCTGCTGCGGCTGCTGTTGTTGCTGTGGTTGTGGTTGCTGCTGCTGCTGCCTCGGCGAAGGGGTTGTTTTCGACAGTCAGGATGCGATACAGTAGCAGATCTTCCCAGCTGGTGCGATGGTATGGGTGGGGTGGGGTGGGGCGCGGTGGAGAGGGATAGGATGGAGTTGGGGAGAGTGAGGATGAGATAGAGTAGCAGATCATTTCAGCTGGTGGGATCATGGCATGAGACGGCATGACATGTGGTGGGATGGGGTGGGGTGCGGTGCGGTGGGGTGGAGTGGGATTTTGTTGCTTGGGATGGATTTGGGGAGGTTGAGGAGGGAATGGGGTGGGGTATGCTGCATGAAAGGGGGTATGATGGGGAGAACTGAACCGAGACGTGTCAAGACTTGTTGAATGAGGGGGGGAGAATGTCCGCCACAAACGCCATGCACGCACATAGTGGTTTTGAGACGTCTCAAAAACACTCTTCTTTCACCAGAGATGAGACGTCTCAAGGCTTGAATGAGGGGGGAAGAATGTCCTCTACAAACGCCTTGCACGCACATAGTGCTGATGGTTTTTTGAGAATTCTCGAGGTGACTTCTGAGTCGACTCAAAAGGCACGTCTTGATGATGGCGAGAACTGAGGCGTCTCAAGGCTTGAATGAGGGGGGGAGAATGTCGACCACAAACGCCTTGCACACACATGCACGCACATAGTGTTATTGAGACGTCTCCAAAACACTCTTCTTTCACCTGAGACGTGTCAAGACTTGTTGAATGAGGGGGGGAGAATGTCCACTACAAACGCCTTGCACGCACATAGTAGTCGACATTCTCCCCCTCATTCAATTCTTGAGACTTCTCAAGGGCAGATGGTTGTTTGAGAATTCTCAAGAAACCACACCTGCTTCTGAGCATTTTGACCAAGTGTGGTGGTAATGGGAAGATTTCAGGGAAGGCGTAAGCAAGCAGAGGAAGGAGAGAACATCAGGGAGAAGCTACCTGGAATGTTCCTCAAAGGCCATGAGGCGATGAAACTCCCCATAGCTCTCCAGCACACGCAGAGGGTCTGCTTGTGAGGGGGGGAAAAGGGGGGAAGAGGGGGAAGGGGGGGAGAAGGGGGGGGAAGGGGGGGAAAGGGGGGGGAAGGGGGGAAGGGGGGGAAAGGGGGGGGAAGGGAGACATGGGGGAGCGGAAAGGGACGCGGAGGAAAAAGGGAAGGCACAGCTCTCCCCAAGGCCATGAGACGATAAAACTTTTGAGTCGACTCAAACGCTACGAAGGCCGGTTTCGAATTTAAAGCAAGGCACAGCTCTCCCCCCAAGGCCATGAGTCGATAAAACTGCCCATTGCTCTCCAGCACTTGCAAAGGGTCTGCTTGGGAGGGGGGAAGTGGAGAAGTGGGGGGATGGAAAGGGAGAGGGGAGCGAGGTAGCAGGGGAAAGGGGAGCTTGGGGATTTGGATGATTTCTGGGTTTGGGGGTTTGGGTAATGACGGCACATGAAGTAATGCACATGGTTCCATTCCACCCCCAATTCCCAACGAGGATCAACCCCATCAGACATCACATTGCCACCCCACCACCCCCACCACGGCGCAGCTGCTGCAAAGGCCTCAGGAACTGTGTCGTGTGCCATGGTAACGATTTTTGAGGCGCCTCAAAAATCGTCTCAGTTCACGCGGATTTTGATCCTTATGAACATTGATCCTCAGGAACTGTGATCCTTATGAACATTGATCCTCAGGAACTGTGATCCTTATGAACATTGATCCTCAGGAACTGTGATCCTTATGAACATTGATCCTCAGGAACTGTGATCCTTATGAACATTGATCCTCAGGAACTGTGATCCTTATGAACATTGATCCTCAGGAACTGTGATCCTTATGAACATTGATCCTCAGGAACTGTGATCCTTATGAACATTGATCCTCAGGAACTGTGATCCTTATGAACATTGATCCTCAGGAACTGTGATCCTTATGAACATTGATCCTCAGGAACTGTGATCCTTATGAACATTGATCCTCAGGAACTGTGATCCTTATGAACATTGATCCTCAGGAACTGTGATCCTTATGAACATTGATCCTCAGGAACTGTGATCCTTATGAACATTGATCCTCAGGAACTGTGATCCTTATGAACATTGATCCTCAGGAACTGTGATCCTTATGAACATTGATCCTCAGGAACTGTGATCCTTATGAACATTGATCCTCAGGAACTGTGATCCTTATGAACATTGATCCTCAGGAACTGTGATCCTTATGAACATTGATCCTCAGGAACTGTGATCCTTATGAACATTGATCCTCAGGAACTGTGATCCTTATGAACATTGATCCTCAGGAACTGTGATCCTTATGAACATTGATCCTCAGGAACTGTGATCCTTATGAACATTGATCCTCAGGAACTGTGATCCTTATGAACATTGATCCTCAGGAACTGTGATCCTTATGAACATTGATCCTCAGGAACTGTGTCGTGTGCCATGGTAACGAGGTGACTTTTGAGTCGACTCACAAGTCACCTCAACCCCATCAGACATCACATTGCACCCCACCACCCCCGCCACAACGCAGCTGCTGCAAAGGCCTCAGGAACGCCTGAGGAGCAGCGCTTATAGCAACAGGCCCCCGCAACCCCACCACCCCTAGAAACCCTCCTCTTCCCCCACTCCCTGCACTCCCTTCCCCTTCTCCCCACCCACCATCAGAGCGGCGCAGCTGCAGCAGCAGCCTCAGGAACGCCTGAGGAGCCGCGCCTTTAAAGACCTCCTGGTACACCAGCAGTGCGGCTGCATCCCTCAGTAGCCGCGCTGCTGCTTTCTCGACACTGATGGGGGTGGAGGGGGGTGGAGCGGATAAGAGTGGGAAGAGAGAAAGGGCAGCAGCGCCTTTTAAGACCTCCTGGTATACCAGCAGTGCTGCTGCATCCCTCAGTAGCCGCGCTGCTGCTTTCTCGACACTGGGTGGACGGGAAAGGGTGGGGGGGAGGAGAAGCGAAGTGGGGGAGGAGCCGCGCCTTTGAAGACCTCCTGGTACACCAGCAGTGCGGCTGCGTCTCTCAGTAGCCGCGCTGCTGCTTTCTCCACGCTGAGGGGGGTGGAGAGGGGTGGAGGGGGGTGGAGAGGATAAGTGTAGAAAGAGAGAAACGGCAGCAGCGCCTTTAAAGACCTCCTGGTACACCAGCAGCGCTGCCGCGTCTTGTAGCAGACGCACTGCTGCTTTCTCAACACTGAAGGGGGTGGAAGGGGGTGGAGGGGGGTGGAGGGGGGTGGAATGGAGGGAGGGAGTGGAGGGTCGGGCATTAGGGAGGGTAGGTTGGGAGGTGCTGAACGGGTCTTGGCAAGGGTGCTATGAAGAACGTTGCAGAAATTTCATGCTTGAGATCGTGCTACCTGGGCCGTGGATCTGCAGTGAATCCAATGGCTGTGATTGTTCGCCGCCTCCCCCGAACCGCTCCACCCTCCCCTCCCATGCCTTCTCCTCCGAAGCCCCTTCTCCAACCTTGCTGCTGCGTCCCGAGCCTAGAAATGCCGCCGCTGCCGAGGCTGGAACCGAGCCTGTCGTCTAGCCTCGTCAACTTTCGGCTGAGCGGATGACCGGGTCCGGCGTGCACTTGCCACGTGCCGAGTGGGCACTGACTTGACTTCGACGGCTGCGACCCATTCGCGTGGCGAATTCGTGTGTGGTAACCAGATGCACGTGACGAAAGGAACGCCTGCGTCATTGTCGCAACTGCTCCGATAAGAAATGAATTGTCGTTGAATACTGGGCTAAGAGACAACAGGGTCGGCGACGAGTGCGGAACGACGAAAGGCGAGGACTGCAGCGAGGAATGCGGCGAGGAGTGCGGCGAGAAATGCGGCGATCTGGGCCGATCTGCGGGGTGTGCAGAGTGAGTGAAGGGAGCGAACCAGCTGCTCCTGATTGGGTTGGCGCAGGAAATTGGATTTGCTGTCTCTGCTGGGTCTCTGGTGCTAGTGTTTGAGGACGCATTCGTACGCACATTCGCAAATACGATACAAGCGTGTCATCACTTCTAGTGTCACTTGCTTCATATATATATCAAATGAAGTCTGCTGTTACAAGCTGGAAAAATAGAAACTGTATGGTATTTATAATGCATTTACAAACAAGCACACACCAAGCCCTTGGTCGGGTGGCAGATGCAAGCACTGACAAGCAAAACGTAAATCTGTACAGTTACTCCCGCTAACCTATACATGCGCACGACGCTTAGGAAATGGGATGTGGGTATTGGGTGGGGTGGGTTGGCCAGTACACAACACCTTGCAGCAACATCTCCGCTGCTTATTTGACTTCTCATCAACAACTGCTCATTTCACCTACGCTACTCACCTCTTCCTCACTCCCCTCCTCTGCTTCCCCCTAACTCCTCCCTCGCTCCTCCTCGCCGCCTTTCATTTGCCAACTTGCCACACTCACATACCATCCACCCCCTACTCTCCACCACAAAAAGTTGCCAGTAGCGCAAAATAGACACGCCACAACACCATGTCACGCAAGAACCAGAAAAGGCCAGATTACCGTACAAGAAAAGACCAACCTTGCAGAGCAGAAAAAAAAAAAAGAGCTGCGCACAGACGCTGGTTACCACCCGACTCACTTCAGATGCTGCAGATTGCAAAAGGTTGCAGAATGTTACAAAATGTTACACAGGGTCGCTGTAGCCTTGCGCCCTTGGCACCCTTGGCGAAGAGTCCAGCCGCACGAGATGCCTTATGAATCCCTGACTCGAACCAGGATTGCTGTGTCTGAGGCGCTTCGAACGAGTCTCGACCGAAACCAGGGTTGCTGTTGCCCGGTGTACCCTTGCATGATTGTATCCATCATCCATGTAGCCACATGGAGAAATAAGCTTTGAGTCGAACCAAGCAAGTGAGAATGGGAGTATCCTGGCAGTCTTGCTGTTGTGCCGTTGCACGGAGCTTCTGCCAGGTGAGATAAAGACGGGGCCTGAGGGCTGTGTGCCTGCACAGCCCTTGTAAATACAATATAGCTGCAGGCGTGATAACCGTCGACGCTGCAGGTGCGAACAGGAGACGATGCTGCAGGGGAGATAAGGAGAGGAGGCTGGAGCTGCAGAGAGCAGCAGAAGCTGCCGCACAATGCAGGTGCCGTTATGAGTGGAAGTATTCGAGTCACTCTTGGGAATTCTCAAAACGCAGGTGAGAATAGCAGAGGACGCTGGAGCTGAAGGTAGCAGCAGGAGCTGTAGCCAAATGCAGGTGCCCCCCGATAAATGGAAGCTGCTGTCTTCTCGTGAAAGCGCAGCTAAGAATGGAAGCTGTGGCGCATCTCGGGCTCCTTCCATGCTGCTCTCGCGGGCGTGTATTCTTGAGGAGCATAAAAAAAAAAGTTCGGCCAAACATGGAAGCCGCTGTGCCGAGAAAGTGCGCCAAGAAAGGGAGCGGCTAAGCGTGGAAGCTGTGGCGCATTTCAGGCTCCTTCCATGCTGCTCTGGCGGGCGTGTAGCGCGACAAATGGGCGAACCCCCACAGCTGCAACACACGAAGTAACCGTGGCAGCGGCGGTGGTTGTGAAACGAGGCGAGTGGACCAGGGTGGGCGGGAAAGGGAAGCAGGGGGGGGGGGAAGGTTAGGAGAGAGAGCAGCTACCTGGGTAATAAAAGTAGAGACAGTGAGGAACAAAACTATTGCTACGATGAACGTGCCAAGGGGCAAACTATTACTAGGTGTTGGGAGGGCCGGAAGGGAAGAAGGGGTGAGGGAGACAAGAGAAATGAGGCAGATGGGTGTGCATGCAAAAGAGAGGAATGCAGTGCAGTACCTCAACGTGTTTGACGCAGAAGTCCTCCTTCCCCGCCAGGCATGGGCTCGCGAAGGTAAGTTTTAAGGCGTCTAAAAAATAACCTCAAGGCAGATGAGTGTGCGTGCAGGGACATGAGTGTTCGTGCAGGAGAGAGGACTGCAGTGGAGTACCTCAACGTGTTTGACGCAGAAGTCCTCCTTCCCCGCCAGGCATGGGCTGGCGAAGGTGTCACACTCGCCACTGGAGCCCGACAGCCTGGAGACCGAGGCAAGACAGGAGGAGAGACGCGGAGACGGGAGAAAGGGGCAAGATGAACACACAAGATTGAGTGACAAGATTAAGCAGACTCTCGTGGAAGAGCTATCTCTCAGAGAGGCAGACAGTGACAGAGAAATGCCACCTATCGTTGCATCATGCACGGTTGGAACACAAACACGGACTCACAGGTCTTCTTCCAGGCGAAGGGCGAATCTCCCTCCGCCACCGAAGGCGAGGCAGTCGTGCGTGGGCAGCACGTAGTAGTGGTTGCGCCCCGTGGCTGCATGCACCGTGGGGGAGCCCCTCGAGACTGCTAGCCGCTACCTACACAACCCCCTTCACCCCCCGCATAGTCCCAGCCTCCCGGACTTACAGGTCTTCCTCAAGACGCAGGGCGAATCTCCCGCCACCACCAAAGGCAAGGCAGTCGTGCGTGGGCAGCACGTAGTAGTGGTTGCGCCCCGTGGCTGCATGCACCGTGGGGGAGCCTGAGATGTCCGAGAAGACAAAGCAGTGGTTGCTGCCCTGGTACTTGCGCCGGTCGGACGGGGTGAGCGCAGAGGGGGAGGAGAAGGCGCCGAAGATTGTTCCTGCGCTGTCTGATACCACCTGGAAGAGTGGAGGGATGAGGGAGTCAACGGGAATTGAGGGAGAAGCAAGAAAGAGAAACAAACAGGACGTCCAGTGTGAAAGAAACGACAGGCGGCGGCGCGAGAGCGAGAAAAAAAAACAAGAGCACAAACAAGAGTCGAACATGTCGAAATGCGCGACGCAGCAGGAAAGTCTTGAAGCGAACTTTCAACCGAACAACGCTTTCAAGAGGACTTGGGAACAGCAGCAAGGTTGAAAGCAGTGGGAAATGAAGGGTACGCACAAGGAGGCAGGGGCCGGGGAGCATGGAGGCCCTGCGGTAGAGCGTGAGGAGCGATATCCCGTGCTTCACCGTGCTGTGACGGGAGTAAATGTTGGAAGGACAGAGGAGATGGGAGATGAACGAAAGACATGAATGGTGAGGGAGAGGAATGGAAAAACCGTTACTCAGCGTGTAGCACCCAACTCAGCGTAAATTCTGCCGTTACCTGTAGAGCAGCACCCATTTGCGGCTGCTGACAGTGGCAGGCAGGTGCTTGAACACCGCCGCACGCGTCGCCTCCGACAGCAGAAACGACTCCTCCGTCAGCTCGGGCAATCGCGGCGTGACAGCTGGCGGCGTGACAGCTGGCGGCGACGCCACCGCAGCATCCCCTGCCACGGGGGCAGAAGCAGGACCTGTCGCATTCCTGGCCGGCAACTCAATGCGCCGTGGCCGGCGCGCCGCCAACTTGTCGTCTTTGTCCTTTTCCTGAGGCCATGTCTTCTCGCCTCGCCAGCGATCACAGCTGCTACACTCGCCTGCCGTTCCGCCACCCCCATGGGGCCCGTGCTCCGGAACCGCCCATAAATCCGGGTCCAGGCTGGCAGTCCACGTCAGCGGCATGTCGCAGTCCAGCACAGTCGCCAGCGGAGTGAGTGGCGGCAGACGTTCCGACATGCTTCTGGATAGCATCCCCATCCTCGCTCCAGATTTGATCCTGCCGCCCGCTCTCAAACCACCACCGAATGTCCCTCCCAGACCTGCATCCGAACCTCCACCCGAGCCTCCAGCCGGAGCAGAGTTCACCGAACCGGACTCCGAGGCTGCATCAGGGCTCGTCACGAGACGCTTCGAAGGTGACGTGTAAGAAGAGGACGGCGTGGACTTGACACACTTGGCGCCACGACCATCACAACCATCACCATCGCCATTACCACCGTCCACAGCAGCAACAGCCCGCGCACACGCCCGAGCAGCGGACGCGGAGCGAGGGGAGAACGACAGCCACCTCTTCCGGTTCCAGAACCCAGCTCCACCGCTCTGAACCGCCGTCTTCCTCCCTTCAAAACTCACGGACTTGCCAACAGACGCCAGCTTGCTCCAGCCCCCGTCCTCCTCTCCCCCTGCACCTTCCACCGTCTCCTCTTCCTCGCTCTCCTCGTCAGAATCCGAATCCACATCGGAATCAGAAAGCGAGTACACGGAAGATGCGGCGGATTGGGACGAAGCGGTAGCAGACGACGCGGGTCTCTGGCTGCCACGTGGCGTGACGAGGGAGAGGATGAACGAGGAGAAGGACGACCCGCCTGGAGTGGTAACAGTAGGAGGGGAGGTTACTCCTGCTCCTGGGTTGTTGGTGAGAGAGAGCGAGAACGGTAGCTCGCCGCTTTCCAGCTCCTGTGCGGACGGGATTGTGTCCAGAACCGGTCGCTGGAAGATCGGACGGTTCTGCTGTAGCCCCGTGTTACGGTTACGGACGGCCGTCGGCGGCTGCTTGATGTCGACCGGCTGGCTGACGGGTTGCTTGCCGGGAGAAGGAGCGGGTGGTGGAAGCTTCGCACATGCTGCTGGGGTCAATTTCGTCGGCTGTGCTTCTGCTGCGACTGGTGCTGCGACTGGTGCTGCGAACGGTGCTGCGACTGGTGCTGCGAACGGTGCTGCGACTGGTGTTGCGACTGGTGCGGTCGACGGTTGCTTCGCGAACACGCTTTCCAATTTAGTCACATTCCGTAGTGCTGTCCCGTCGTCGGAAGGTTCGTTTTCCTCCTCGTCGGTTTCGATTACAGCGACGGGGAATACAGCGGCGCGAAACCCTTTCGCCCTGTCTTTATCAGAAGCTCCGGTCTTCGCTTTCTCTTGATTGGACGCGGATGAGACAGGCTCGGTGGTAGGCTCGGAGACAGGCTCGGCAGCTGTAGCAGAGCGTGCGGCGCTCTTTCGTTTCAGGAACATGGTGAGTGATGATAACGGGGTCCGTTGAGGAGTAGAAGCGGCATCGGAGAGTAACGAATTGGAGCCGTTTTTCTTCATAGCGTGAATGCAGCTGTTGCTGCTGCAGCGACCCATCAGGCGAGAGCACGAACCCTGAACGTGGGGAGCGACATCGCAAAAAACGAAACGAGAAAACTT